GCAAAGCAATAAAAATCAAATTGTTTTAGAATGTAATTTAAAATTTAACAATAAACCTTGTGCACTAAGTGGTCAATAGCAGTGTTTGCGCTAACAAATGAAAACAGATCTGATCGCAACCAATTAAATCAATCAACCAATCACCAATTCAAAATACAGTTTATAAGAGGTGATGACCACCTTAAGTAAAAATTAAGTATTAAATCATCAAAACTGTTGTCGTACAAAATAAATTGAACAGTATCAGTAAATTACCGCTTTTACTTTGAATTTCATGCATCATATTTATGGTAGGAATCAAATTATTTCAATCATTTCAACAAATGACCATTTAAGAAGTTAAATTTCTGGATTATTTCAAAAGAAGCATCTTCGTTGTTCAGGCAACATAAAAATACTAACATACTTACTAATCTACATACAACTGACTGCTATACACGTAAATAAAATGGAGTGTTATTTCTACTGACTGCTATATGTTTTTACATTGTTGTGAACAGTAAATTGAGATGGATTGTTCATGCTTTTCAAGATGAATAAAAAACACGACGTATCTGTAAACTATGGCCCTTATGTGAGTTTTGGCTTATTAAGTCATCGCACTTCTCGTCTTGAAGGAGTTGAAGGTGAGTTTGCAAAGAAAAAATTGAGAGCCATATTTCTCCCTAGTTAGTGTTGCTAATGTAAAAATCTTGCATTTTATGTACTTAGCTTTACTTCGTGAAGATGGTCATAATGTTTGTTTCAACAAGATCCCAGACAGAAATCTCGTCGAGATTGTTGTAAATGGAGAGATAATTTATACCACAAACATTCAAGATTTTCAATTTGGTAAAGTGTTATTTTCTTAAGTATTACGAACAGTTGAAATATCCCAAAGGACATTTTTTTATTAAACGTCTCTATGTTGTCTAAAACCATCAATTCTTTACAATGAGGCAAAAAAATTTTTGTTGAACCATAAGAAATGTGATTGCATTATTTTATAGTTTTGTTAATTCATTTTACAAAGTTGAAATGTTTGTGTCTGAGCGAGTGAAATGTAGGTTTTCAGTAAATGATAATTGTAAACATTTAGAAATTACGGTTTGCCATTTGCACTTTAATCTTAACATACTTTAGAAGTTAAACAATGTTACCAAAACTGCTTAAAAACCATTAAGTATTGCACACATAGTTGAATGAAGTATTCTTGTTAATATTTCATTTTCTTTTCAAGGTGGAGACGGTAAATTGGATCCAATTTGCTTTAAAGTATTAGATGCTGTTAGAAAAGCATTTTGACTTAATTTAGAAAATCCAGATAAAGCAAAAAACTGATGTAATGTATTATAAATTGAATTGTCGCGTCATGTTTTGTAAGAGATGTTTTACAAAACGACGATCGAGGTTGAGTTAGCAAAGCACAAGCATTTTAAAATCATTTTTTGGATTCGGATAGACCCCTTTTTTGTTGTTATTTTGTATTGTAACAATCTTATAATTTGAATTAACTGAACTAAAATATAAGTTCATCGATGCTGAAATTTCGATATATTGTCATTTTACATAAGATTATAGTAAATAAGCATTTTTCGACAAAACAACAATTTAGTATGAGACACTTTGTCCGATATTTATGCAACATTTGCTGGCTTGCTTTTGTTACTCTCACGCGAGAACTAACGTCATAAAACACGGACATTTAAATTGTGTTTGAATAAGCTTTCAACACCCAGCAAACGATAATAAAGTGTGTTGTTCTTATTGAAAAGTTTTCGTGATTGAACCAACTCATATGTTGCTCATCAGTTTTAATTACTGCGATTAATGCCCTGTCCCCATTGATTTTTATCATTCCCTCTATATTCTAGTATTTCCGAAACAACGACAGGAATTTTTACTTCGATGAGAATTCGTTTTAGTCGAGTAAAGTGTCTAATTATAATAGTCCGGCAGATGGTGGCAAAAAAACTCACCATATCGCGGGGCAATTCCATTTTGCTTTAAAATTGTCCGAGTACGGATATAGAACACAAATCGAGATGTTGGCCTTGGTAATTTTTCTTGTGAAATCAAGCCAACACGTTTTTTTGCGCTAACTAGATGACTTTTGTGTTATGATGAAAATTGAGTCGGAGAAGAAATAAGCCCGCGATATTTCGACCATCGCATATGTAATTTGGCGGTACTTCAAATAATTTCATTTGTTGTGTAGCATGCATAACATCAAAATTATTCTATCACACAATTTAATTTTTGAATTTTTGCGATTATGCTAGTAGTTCATTGTTTGCAAACTAACAATGATTTCAAATAGAGAATATATTCTTATTCCTCGTCACTGTCAAATGAAGTGTATGTGTCAAGATCATCTTCATCTTGTGATTGGTTTGTGCACGTGGTGCAATTACATAAGTCGGTACATTTCGAGACGTTTGCAATGCATATACATCGGTTGTTTTGGCATCCTGATTTTTTGCAGCTGCAGGATAAGAACTCCAGTAAGGAATCTGGCGCAGGTTTTTGATTCATCCATTTAGGTTCCAATATTCCATTAACCTTTTGCCAACCGTGTCCTTCAGGTGTGGGAGCATAACAGTTAGGGGTCAGACCTAACTTCCAAATGCATGTCACATAGTTTGCGCGCTGACAATGAAGGAGCAATTCATCGACGGTGGGCGGCAACTGTTGTGGCTCAGGGATCTTATTTTTGGTACAAAATTTTTGATATCGTGCTTTGTTGATACTTGTACAGCGTTTGATGCCATAGTACTCACCAATCATCTCTTAAATTACGGGAAAGAGAGCTTCATTGAACTCGAACGTTTCTCCCATTTTTGATAATGCTTCTTGGAACCGTTTGCAGATCTTTACGATCTTGTATGCCTTCTGTTTGCCTATACCAAAAACGCACTTGTTGAATCGCAACCAGTTAATGCGTGTAGAATTATAAAATAATTTGTTGAATTAATAAATTAAGGATTAATTGCGACAGCCAGTTGTTCACCAATGCAGTCAAAATCTTCGAAATTGCAAGGATTCTTTGTTCCCTTTATTCCTATCTGAACAAACAGATTGCATGGTATTTGTGCTTTGTAATACACGGCTAAGATAGCAAACATCGCTGTCAACAGTCGATACAAATATTTGGATGTGGAATGAGCTGAGTTGCATGGTTGCAACAGAGAAACATTTTGGTATCTGCTTCTTCTTGGTTAGAGCAAAGGTCTTTCTAACTTTGATACTACTTTGTTGTCGACGACTCTAAGCTGATAACATCGACTTTCTAATGTGAAGAATATAAGTGTATCTCCGATAGTAGATTTGAATCGCTCGGGATCTGACCAATCGTTTAAAAAAAACTTTACAAGATCGATTTTGTTTACACCATAACAAAGAAACTTTTTAAATTGCTTCGGCCGTTTCTGTTCTCTTCTGGTCAGTTGAACACGAATACAGCCAGCAGCTGCACGTCTTTGCCGCTCGCTACTTTTTAACGATTGGTCATGGTATTGGTCTGTGACAAAATAAACTATACGTGCTGCGTGAGATGTAAAACGTACTCGGACATTTCACCAAATGTTTCTAAACTGAGAGATGGGAGCTGCTGAATGATGACCATACCATCAAAAACTTGTACACAATTTTCTGGAAAAGTATCAAGCAAAGGATCCGGAACATCTTTTTCTAAAGAATCAAGCAATTTAGACTTTACAGTTTTAACCAAACCACCATCGGTTGTCGCTAAGGACCATGGAATAGGCCCAAAGAGTAGGCGAGCTTTTGTAATGATACATCGCGCTTACCACGTATCACCAGCAATCGAGCAAATATATCTCGGTCAGCTTTCAAAGTAACACTTTTATCTTTAATCTTACAAGACTTCTTCGCCTTCATCGCTTGAAAAGTCTTGAGCTTCATTTTTGGAATAGGATCGAACAAATCGACTTCACTGACTCGATACGTTTTGCAAAGTTATGAAAGCTTTTCCCCATCTACTTTCAGCGCTTACCATGTCAGCTTGAACTTCAGGACTACATTGCAATCCAGAGCTGAGATGCATGAGATAGCTATTTTCTTTGAAAGGTCCCATTCTTTAATAAGGTTGTAGCCGTGAGTGACGCATTCCTCGTCGAATAACACTCTCTTTCTTCCCATGTCTTTCGTCACATTCTTAACATCAGAGATTATTCCAAGGAACTCTTCCATTCTTGACTGACATTTTGCTGCAACATGAGATGTAAGTGCCCATCTTTGTACGGTTCCTTCAGACGTACGAAGCAGACAATGCCACCAGCACACTTTTGTTCCCTATTGATAGTTTGTTCAATAGCTTGGTCTGATGCTATTTTATTAAATTGGCCATTCTGTCTTCGTACAGAAAAATGGCTGCTTCAAACTGTTCATGGCTGGATGCGTTTCGTATTTTTGTATTTGACTAAGTAATATGTCAGAAACGCATAATTTGGACGGTCGTACAAATAGCCAAGGGAGCATGTTTTCCGTAGACTGCAGATGCATTTTCCAATCACCGAGTTTGATAGATCGCGTGAGATCGAGCAATATTTGTATACCATTTGCAAAAATGATGACCAAACTGAAGCTGTTGGACCAAGTGATCCTTTAAAAGATCTCTTTGATACTTGTGTATTTTATCAATAGTCTCCCATGAACTTGAACTCGGAGATGTGGTAGACAACGATTCATTTGTGGAGATGATATAAAGTTTGCATTTCACGAGTTAACTAATTAATCGTACCCTTCGAGATTTTTCGGGTTGATCATCGAGCCATTCTAAAACTGTCGCCATAACCGCCACGTTCGCAGTGCTTCACATTCCGCACCGAGTTCATCCCAGCCAACGTCTTCCACAGATGATGCACCATAGCATGTGAAACACCTAGAGCAGGACAATGAACTTTAAGATCAATAATATGTTTAGAATCAAGGATTTCAACTGCTTTTAGAGTAGATCGCCATGTCGAGAACACACATCCGTTTCATTTAAACCAAGTTTTTGTGCTTTTAAGTTTCGATTGAGTTAGTAGCTCTAAAACAGTATCATGAGAAGTCGGAGATTAATGATAGATGGCAGGTGGCATCCAATTTTGTCATAATTGCCATTGGCCTCACACACACCATAAAGCTAAATCCTGTCCAATTAGCGTTTCTGTTCGAAATTCTTTTACTTGCTTGACTTCTAGCAATGACCCATATAGTATCAATCACGTGCGAGCGTTGGACTTCCTTTGTATAAATCAAGATTAACTGTAATACTTTCCTCTGTATTCTTTCTCTTTTACCTTTATATAAGATGGTATCTCGTTAGGTAGCGCATGAAACTTCTTACGTTTGGTAGTTGTCTTGAGACTAATGGCACAGTTGTAAAGATGGCTCGCGTATTAAAGAAAACGTTAGAGGATTGTATCACAATACCATTAGTGCAGTGCAAGCTAAGTCCTTTGAGACTCTCGGGATTAATGTCGTTGTTATCCCACACAAACGTTACAAATCGAAATGGTTGTATTATAGATGGAGTAAAGGATCTGTGGATCTGATTCTTCAAATCACTAAATTTGTCTCGATCATCAGGACATCGTCGTATGATACCCGTGACCAAACATGTTTATCCAATTTATGACATCCTTGAACCGGTTTTAATTGTAAAAGGAAACAGATATGTTTTGATGTTTTCTTTGGTCCCGTTATTAGCGTGGTATATCAAATCTTGGCCAATAGAAGAAATCAAACGCGAAACTTTTGCAGACTTTTTTATGCTTTTTCCTAAGTATTTCCTCCAAAAGGCATGTTGTTAAGAATGGAACACTCGTGTCTTTGAAAGGAGCTCACTTTCGATGGTGGCCAACTGCTGAATGTGCTGGTACTTTCCAACAATTCCTTACGTATTTCACGCCCAACGTCTTTTGTTTTCTCTTCTAATGTCATTTCCCATCGACTGTTACCAAGTTTTGCCCTGACTGCTACTTCGATCAACTGCCCCTTTTCAATGCTGTTGTTATATACATAATCGCTACCATACTTCGGAGACCAGAATCCAACTTAATACCAGAATCCAACTGTCTGTTTATTGCGTCCGAGTACTTTAGTCAGAAACTAAAGTACTCGGACGCGCACAGACTAAACACGCACGCGAATTTAAAGAAGCTTGGTACAGTAAAGACGACACAATAAACAGACATATCGACATACCCATCATATACTCACAACTAAAGAAAAAGGACAAAAAACTACAAACAACACCAAAACTAAAACAACACTCTAATATTATTAACACCAATCATATTGACAATACACCAAAACCCATGGCAACGCATTTCATCCCATCCAATCACATTAATCCACCCACTAATCCAATTAGACGCTCTAAACGTCTCCAAGCTAAAAGCACGTGTAACTTTTATGTTTTTTTTCTATAGTATATATTCTGTGGTAAGAGTTCAGTATCAACCAAACTTATCGTGTGGACAACAAGTTGACCCTGAGGGACTGGAAAGTTCGTAACTTTTGCATGAAATGCCCGCTTCGTCCCTCGCACTCGACAAAGGTGAAGTCAGGGAAATAATACACGACTTACTCAGTCACATTTTGGAGAAGAATGGTTTTAATATCGAGAACTTTATACCGAATTCCACCACACAAAATAAAAATATTATCAATAAATAAAATTAATAACGCACATTATACACGCAAATACACAATAAAATATATATTATATTAATAAAATACACAATAAAAGGTTGAATACATTAGGAATGAATACAATATCAGAAGAATATCGCAAAGATATACACACAAAATATGACAGGGCGCTTCTGCGTCGGCTTAGTCGGAATTGCTCGTAATTGATGGCTTTGTTTCAAAGTTAAAATGGTTCCAACTTCCAGAGTACATAACAAAATTCACTGATTTCACTGTGATCATTATTTCAAAGTTGCCACGATATTGCTCCCCGTATTTTGGTTAAAATTAGCTTAATGTGTTGTCCTTTGAAAGGACATTATTGGTCTGTCGTCCTGTACCAGTTATAAACAGCTTTGGGGTACTGAAGTTGAAGTTAACGGACTTGCAGAGCTCGAGGGCAACTGCTTGAAGAGACGCTACTCGTCATTGACGCTTCAGAACATTTTGGCAAAGAAGTTAATCTTCCCAAACGCACAACTGCATTTGTGACAAAGAAGCTTTGTCAAGGATTGTGCACCACAGTTGGCACAAAACATAATTATGCCAGGATTATGCAAGAGCTTGCTTTCGATTCCTTCCAAATGTAATTTCAAATGTTTCTGCAGTTGAAACAGTTAAATACGACGACAAGTCGACCAAATGTTAAAATCATAATTAGTGAATTACACATATCTGATTACAAACTGATAATATGATAGTCATACCATCCGACACCGCAAGCGCCCGCAATCATATTTTGTGTGTGTATTTTTATTTGTGTGTGTTTTTATTTTGTGTGTGTATAATGTATTTTGCGTGTATTTTTATTTTGTGTGTGTATTTTTATTTTGTGTGTGTATTTTTATTTTGTGTGTGTATTTTTATTTTGTGTGTGTATAGTGTATTTTGTGTGTGTATTTTTATTTTGTGTGTGTATTAATATTTTTATTTTGTGTGGTGGCCCTTGTGAGCCACCGTAAGATATTCCTCTCCATGTCCATGTTCGTCAAACTGTCGATGCTCTTATCGAAGACTCGAGTGAACTTTTCTACAATTTAGGAGAGCAATTACATTTGAACTCTGACAACATTCACGCAATATTTTTTGGATTATGTGATCAGATTTTCGTGACAGGCATAAATTGGGGGAAGATTCTTGTTTTGGCTTTTTGTGGTACCGTTGCCGTGCATTGTGCGAGCGATACAGAACTTTGTGATATTTTAAATGAAATTCCAACATGGATGAGTGATTATGTGGAAGGCAACTACGACAGTGGATTGATGCTCATGGAGGATGGTATGTACTGCCAATTCAATGAATGTATTTTGAAACTGTGTGCTTTTACTTCCCTTCCCAAGAAAAGTGTGTTGCAATTTCATTTTCATCAAAGGTATTTAATTTTTCTTTGCAACATTCATTAAGTACCATGCGTTCTGCTTATGTTGTAAATGCTTTTGTTTAAAACCAATGTGCTCGTTTAATAAAAGACAATAATCCTGCCGTATATTTAATCACACGTAGCGGAAATTTAATTTTCGGTATAGAGTCCTTAAGTGGTGACGTCACGTTTCCATGGTGCTAAAAATCTCAGTTCCAAACAAGCGCCCATTCGATTCAAAATGGAGACATTATCCATCGCTTCGCTTTTTTTTTCTTCTCAGAAGAAAACCACTTAAGGGGGAAAACCACTTAAGTCGGATCACATTGAAGCATTTACTTACCAGCAGAGTGTTTTACGAGGAGAAGTACACGCAAGAATGAAAGGAAAGGTTTATAAAGTGACGGTGAATGCCAAATGTCAAGATTACGTTTTACACTGTTTTTGTTGCCCAAATGAACACGAGGGCGTGATTTTCTCTTGTAGTGAAATAAAAATGAACGATTTGTTTTAAAAAATACTGATACTTGTCGGTTTTCAGTCCTCAAATTGACCTACCACTACTAGTTCGGTGTGAGGGAGTTGTGGTAACAGGCTATACATATATTTGCATTTTTATTAATAAACACAAGGATAACATGGTATTTAAAAGACATGGAAATATGGTACATCATTTAATGTTGTTTTCCTGGGGAAGGAAAATTCCTATAAAAGTGATGGGATGCTCATGGAAATGTTCAGAAAGACTCCTTTAGGGTAACTGTGGGCAGTACTCACATATTTTTATCCCCAAAAGACATCCATTGTAAAACATATGTCAAAACTTCTTTTAACTTCTGTTCTCCTAAACATGATAAAAGAATTCTCGCAGTGACCTAATTTGACACCCTATGTACACCCAGGCTGTACCAGATGATAAATATTGTAATCCCTAGGAGGTAAAATCATCCCTTTACTGTTATATTAGAATGCTCCACCCCCCCACACCCCTCTAGCTGTATTTTCTTCTAAGTAAGCCTCAGTCTACAAATTATTTTATTTCTATTTGAACAACAATAATTATTGAACAACAATAATTATTGTTGTTCAACAATTATTATTGAACAACAATAATAACTGTCCAATGTAGTCTTCAAGCATAAAACTACTCAAAAACCATATCTTCGCATCCCTCTTTGATGAGAGGAAATTGCAAATTTACAAGTGTTGCACATAACTGAAACAAAACGTCGGCATAGCAGCGCAAATACGAAGGAATGAAGCCTAAAATTTTGAAGTCTTTCAGCCTAGCATTGGCTCTTTCGACATGAATCTGTGCTTTAGCTATGGCTTTTGTTTTCTTGACCTCACTCTCTGTGAAAGTTCCATTATTCAGAAAAGGTGGAATATTGACACAGACACCATGTGGTACAACATCCTGGATAAGGAAACCCTTGTCCGCCAGAATCATATCTCCAGCTGTCAAGTGATTAAGGAGTCCAGACTGTTGCACAATGGCCTTGTCTGAAATAGAACCTGCATACAGCCGACTGACATTAGTAATGACTCCATTTGGTGCAACACCAACTATTACCTTAAAGGAATTCATTCCTCTGTATGATAAAAAGGTTGCATTTGCTGACTCATCAATCCCGGTGCAGCAAGCTCAATATCTGTGCAGACAGGATTCAAATTGCCTGAAAGACGATGGTGCAGAGATCTTGTTTTTTTGTTTCTGGGATGGAATCGACGTCATTAGGTCGTCAAACAAAATTTCATGCAAAACATGAGTGAATGCTATAACAATGTTAGAAATTGTGGCCACACTACAATGAAACAATTGGGCTAGGTGAAGCTGTGTGTTGTTCTGTCGTACTTTCATTAAAGTGATAAAAATTTGATCCTCAAAATCTATGGATTATACCTTCCAAAGCACTAAGATTTAAGGTTTTGGCTACGGAAAATACAAAGCGACCGTTAAAAAGACAACTAGCTGAAGCTTCTATATAGCTTCAATATAATTCAGTATTCGATGAATCTCCCTCATGTCCTGATGCCAACTCTTCACATGAATAGAGTCCGTAAATCTCACTTAAAATCACGTAATTCATCAAATTTTCACCGAATAAGGAATTCTTTTTGAATATCAGTTCATACCTTATGAGTCGAACCATCTCTTGTACTCGTCGTTCAGCATTGTAGCGCTTGGAAAAGCAAAGAACTTGCAAGTGTTGCCCTCCGACGAATGGCCACATGTAGGAGCAAAACAGTAAACCATTTTGCCCGTTTGACCCGCGTCCTTTACACTTCTTAAACAAAAGTTGATCCCTTGGATTGCCTTTTAACCATTCCTGTTTTTTTTTATTGTCTTTTGTGGGATTACACTGGATAATTAAAGCTTTAGACATTCAAAACAAAGGAAGCGTGTCCAAAGCGCTCGCATAAGATATTTTGTTTAGAACTGCATTTTTTAGCTCCATGGTAACGTGACGTCACATTTAAGGACTCTATTGTTGTTGCAGTTTTTCTGGCTTTTATAATGAATTTTGACTGCGTTGATTGCGCTGTAGACAGTAGACAGGCATGTACAGAGTAAGGATTCGTGTATTTATCTGTCGGAGAGTTATAAATAAAGCATGACGCAAGACATGTTTTTTCGTCTTGTTATTCTAAAATATCGTGATAACTTACTGGTGGAAATACTCCACTTCAATTTTTTGTGTTTAGTTTATTATGTTCTTTGGTATTATGTGTTGTTGTTGCAGTGTAGAATGTTTGTAAAGTGGGAAATTATTCACTGTCTTGTTAACTTGTATAATTTGTATTTCAGAAAGGATTTGTGACTTTTTTCAAATTAGCTGGAGCTAATGGTCAACTTGATTTGAAAAACTGGAGTCTTTTTGCTCTTCTTGGCTTTAGTATTGGAGCATTACTTGTCTTTGCCACCAAAAATATTCCACAATAATGAATAAAGTGCATTCTAAAAGCTTGAAAGTGTAAGGTATTTTTGCTGGATATGTGAGGGGTCTGTTTGTTGATATTTACATTAAGTATTTTGCTTTCTTATCACTTTAATGAAGTCAGCCACTTATCATAAACAGACTCTTATCGAATGAAAGGCAAACAGGGCAAAATAACAGAAAGAAAATAATTTCATCTAGAATTGTCTTGACTGTCATCACAATGCAGTTGTCCAAGCACTGAAAACATGTGTATTCCTTGAGTGTGAATGGATGAAGTATTTCAAAATGAAAATTATTAACAATACAATTACAAACTTGTAACAATACTCTTGGCCGTGTTCAAATCATTTACTTTACATTTTATTTTGCCAAATGTTTAAATTGAGTTTTTTGCAAAGCTTCTCAACTTTTTCATCTTCGTCCTTTGTATCTATGGCCTAGAAACTCTCCTTGTGTTCTTGCTCAGCCTGGGAAAAAAAATTGCACTGTTAAAATTTATTTTATTCTTAATAAATGATAAAGTCATTTTTTTTCACTGTTGCCTCATTGTGGTACGCAGGATCTTGAGAAGAAATTATTTGAATCCTGTGAAAGAAGGATAAACAACAAGTACCAACGACGTGTTCGCTCTATAATTTTCCTTTTTAAAGACGAAACGATACAGGAAAAATTTAAGCGGGAAAAAATTAATTCCCAAGAAATCCTTAGTCGATGTTTGTTAAAAAGTCAGATAGTGATGTTAGATAATAAAGATGAGAAGCTATATTTATGATGAACAGTTCACACGACTGCTGTGAATGTTCCTGTTTTACAGACCTAATTTGCTAGCCATCAAAGCCAAACATTTGGATGGAAAATATTGGTAATTTTCCAGCACAGTTAAATAACTTTTAAGTTAAATTTATTGTAGCTTAGAATTATAGATTAGATGAAAAAGATCGAAATGTAAAATTTTCTTATGTAATTCATACACTAACACTCTCTTGTAAATATGTTATTTGTAATTTTCCTCTTCACCAAAGTACTAATGTCTAAAGTTCATCAATTTTAATGGTTTTAAATGTATTATTTTTAAAGCAGTTTTGCTGTTGTGACTTCAATGAAAATGAAAATTAGTTGGGCACTATTGAATACGTGAATACTCATTCAAAGGCGGCCAGCCTGCAAATTTGGTCAGTGCTGGTGCTGTGTAATATTTTTATCATTAGCATTATTCATTTTTTAGAAATGTATCATTTTTTACGAACTTTTACGGGCTGGCCTGTTAACACCAATTAATGTTCGAGCATGCTAATTATATTTTAGAATCCTAACCAAACCGTTTTTGAAAGTTGGAGAGAAGATACACCAAGATCTCAGTGACAAGTGCATCCTGAAGTGCAAAGGCTGAGAATATCCTTCAACACAAACACTAAATTTTGACCCACTTGTTATTAACAGCAACGAGTTGAGGTTGTTAAGTCAGCAAAATTTTTGGAATTACGATCAGCAATGATTTGACGTGGAACATTCATATTGACAATATTATCAAAAAGTAAATAAACGAATCTATGTTCTAATTCAATTAAAGAGCTAAGGTATCCCCAAGATCTCTCTCTTTATATAACTTGTATAAGATCGGTTATGGATTATGGAGTAGTTAGTTTTACAATTCCTTACCAAACTACTTAAAAACGAATTCCAACATTAGTAAAAAAGAGTGATATCAATAATATGTCCTTATAATAGTTATAAAATTGGGCTGAAAAAGCTAGATATGTCACCAATAGAATTACACCATGAAGATTTATGTAAACGTTATTTCCAGACAATTGAAACAAATGAACGCCATAAATTAAGAAATTTACTGCCAAACAAAATAACTGTAAATATAGCCTGAGAAGTAAACATAAATATATAGTTCCAGTTTGTTCAAACAGGGCGAAGAACTCGTTCATCCTGTCCTTGTGTACATAAAGTTACACAAAGTGGCCAGGTATGAGTTTTCTTTGTCTCTGTTGGTGTTAGGAGTACCATTTTAGATACTATTTTTTGATTTTAGATACTTATTTTAGATACTTATTTGCTATTATAATTTTACTAATGTAGATATTTGCAATTCAGCCGCAAGGCTGCAATTAATATTTTAATAAACTACCTACCTACCTACCTACCTACCAACTACGAAAACCTTAAAATAGAGCAGCTCTGTTGATCATAAAATTGAAAAATGAGTATGGTTAGGACGTACGTCCCTGTTATGGGTAACACCATGTTTAGAAGATGCAAATCCCATTTATGATTAAAATTTAAGAGGATTCGGAACCGGGGGCTGAAGCCTCTCCCCTCTTTTAGAAATAGCAAAACAAAAAATATTTAGACTGAGCTGAAGTTGTTGTTTAGAAGTGTTTTTTAAGTCACTATAGTAGAGTTGAATACTTAGCTCACACACGTCATATGTTGCTTTATCGTCCCTGGGCTTTACAGCCAAACTTTGTATTAAAAAAGCAAAATCGGAATTCCTAAGAAAAATATTGAATGTAGTAAATTGAAACTCTGGCCGAACCAAGCCTATTTCAGGAAATACGAAATTTGACGTCTTAAATTATTTTGTCTTATGCTCTCCTCATCATCGACCTTAATCTAATTTGTAAATTGTATCATCTTTTCAAATTTTTTATGTACGTTTGAATAAAACTGTAAAGTGTTTGTGACAAATCCCTTTTGAAAAGCAGCATTTGCTGAAAAATGTAATTAGTGCAAATCAAATTAATCATCATTATGATTTATGATAAAGTAAAATAGTCATCTCACTATTTCTATTTTTATCTACTCGCTAAGTTTCACAAACAGATGTCAGCTCCAATTCATTCTTGGGAGAGTGGGTGTTTTTTAAGGATTTCTCACGCGTGATGACGAATGCTAACATGACGTTTGCCCTCGTAGGTTTTCTAACCACACGCCCATCACATTAAATCATGCCAAATGACGTAAAACGAGCATTCTCAAACAACCCACTCCTTTTATCCTCGTAACACACGCATTAGCTATTTTTATTAAATGCTCGTAACAAGCTGAAATTGTCTGGTTAAATTAAAAAAAAAATACAAAGTGTTCCCATATTTTGAACTCAATCATATGTTTGTCTCATTTAATTTGCTTTTAACAAGTTGAGTCAGGCAAAAACAAGCGTATTTGTATCGTACAACGTATTATCGTCAGTTTAAAGGCCAGTAAAATAATCAATACAATTTTTCTCAATTGCATACCTTCCCTTTTTTTGACATTCTGGTTACGGCCCTGTGTAATTTAAGGTAGGAAATAATGTGCGCCTATACACTCCCAGCTCTACTGCCTTGCGGTTTCTGATAATTTATGAGCTTTAAATTTGCTTAGAAAAAGGTATGCACTTATTGTAAAGTTATGCGTAAACGTTTAAAATGCTGGACATGAGCAGCATAAATTGCGCGCTATTATGGCCGTGTTAGGACTGAAACCAACACCTCTCCTCACTCACATGAAAAATCAAATAGAAACATGGCGATTGCTTGAGTCTTCGCACGTTGCAAATTTGAAGTACGTATTGACGAACGGTAACTGTTGTTTCAAGCCTGGAAATAACTTTACATCATTAAATTTTTTCAAGGCAATCGCATTGAAGCACGGATTTGTGCAGGATAGCGAAATTATCATTAACATGGCCCGGCCTCTACGAGAGATACAACCGACACAGACGTCAAAGTTGAAATTGTATTCAAGTTCAACAGTCGAGTGTCTGGAGCGCCTAGAAGGAAACGGTGATACGGCAAGGAGAATTTGCGGTAAATCCAGTCGATGTGGAAGGTATTCGTGGCTGTTTCGTGGTTCTGCACTGGAGGTATAAACGTAAATAAAACGTTTTGTTGCAATAAGCTTATTCCAAATAAATAGACATCTTATTCCTCTTATGAATCTGGCAGAATTCAAACCTTGTAATATAAAACTAATATTTTTTATCCACACATATTCTATATATCTTCGCTATGGTGATTATCACGTTTTCTATGATGATGAGCCCAGTCTGCCCAGACTGTAGTTTTTCTCTTTGTGGACACTGGAAAGTATATATAGCCAAATATAGGTGCTTCTATGGACTACTCTGTTTAGATAAAGGTTTACTGCTGGTATTATTTCGTGAAAGTAAAACACTAGAGAGCAAAGCAAAGCCATGAATGAGCATTTTTTGCCTTCCCCCTGTGAAAATGTTCTTCAGTTCAAAATTAAATACATATTAGATGGCATCAAATGTCATCAGAAACCAATTGACACTTATTGCTTGATGTTGTTTGACAGTCATTTCTCATTGTGCGGACACTAATTTTCACAAAGTTAATGTTCTGCTTTTTGAAGATTTTTTGTTTTTTTCAAATTAACAAAATTAGGTTATCAATCCAGTTTCTGGTTGTCGTCTTTCGGCATGGCGGTGTGGGTGGAGTGTGAGCGAAAAATTATCGTTAGTTATCAGTTGTGCTATAGAATATCCAACTTCCAATGGCATATATATACTGGTCGGCTTGCAAAATGTTACAGTCAACACTGGTATGTTGTGTGTATTTGATCCTGTACTATCAAGAGTTATCAAGGCCATTGAACTTCCAAGAAGCATCACATTTATTGAATATTTGACAACATCTGGAGGAGTCAATGCACCACATCATTCGATTAGGTGAATTAGATTTTCTCTGTCTTGAAATTCAATCACATATTAATCAAAGTTTGTGCTGAAAATAGAGGTGATATGATTCACCCCACTTCGCCAGCAATTTTTCTAACATGCATTCTTCAGCTTGATTCACAGCATACTTTTTCTCCCTACTAAAACTCTTCTTCTCCTGCTCCACAAACTCCTTCCTTGTCTTCTTTGGTCATCCTCACTTCGTGTTTGCCTTCAAATTTTTATACAAATCAATTGATTATAGTTGTATACTTAATGTTGCAACATCTGTACCTCTTATATTTTGTACTCATGGTATTCTGAACATGATTCAGATTACATTTCTTACTTTACTACAAGTAGGTACTTGCAATTATTAATTTACTTCAACGACGAGGGCATTTTCTAATTTCGTAATCAACTTCCGATTTTCCAGCTCTTCGTTGTGCGAGTTTTATGGATGTGTAGTTGTTGGTGCACGTGGTGGTCACGTGTACCTAATCGGCCTTCGTTTGGACGATGATGTTGAGGAATTTGACGAATGGAATCCGAGCACTTTGGAAATTGTTGACGCGGATGATCCCGACACTGAAGTGCACAGGATAAGCCCAAGAGAGAATGGCACACATGTCGCCTTCGAACTCGGAGGTTTGTATTGATAAACTTGCTGAACTTTAGTTTAAAATTACATTTCTTTCCATGCTTTTTCATTTATTCAAACATGCAAATTGTTTGGATGGCATTACTGGGAAATTGGACGTTAATCAGGGCATGGGAAACGGAGCATTTCCTAAATAGCATCTCAATGATTGGGGTTCAATATTTTATGTTAGGAATTAAAAAAGAGCATGAAGAGTAAAGCAACGTCTGTGCCGAATGTATTGAAAAATTTATGCCCTTCACAGTTATACGCATTGACATAGTGACGTGATTGTCCGTATTAGAGGTACTTTAAGACCTGGGACTAGAAACATTGTGCTCGTGACAGGCACGTGACAATTCAATAGAGACACCTTTTTGTATGGAGGCATTTTTGGTTGTCATTTCAGGAAAACTTTGCTTAACTGAAAATTCCTGTCTTTTATGTTACGATCATAATGTTCGGGTTGTTAACAGGTTGAGCCTGCGATTTGAGTACCACAATCAGATTAGTCGTAGAAAACATTTTTATATTTTCGCTATTATATCGAACTGCGTTGAACGGAAGCTGTTCACAACAAGAAATGGAAGTGTGATATAAAACTATGTCTGTAGGTGAATGTCACGACTTTGGAAGATTTACTTATGTTTCATCCGAAGGCGAAGATCTTGGCAGTTATCCTTCAAGTACGTCTTCTTAAAAGCTAGCTATAAATATTTTAGCCCAAACATCCTTCTGATTTATCTAGCTCGCGTTTCCTCGTTTAGATGACGTAAGCGTGACATGTTTAGCGTACATACGACAGTTGGGTTCATTGATTGTTGGATACAGCTTCGGTTGCTTTCAAATTTGGGATTTGGAGCAACATACGAGAGAGTAAGTGAACTAAAGAGAATTTATCTAACGTGATGAGTCGTATAGTAAGACAATGTAGGTGAAGACATGTTTATTACGAACGTTATGTTGCTGAGAACGTTTACCAAAATGTGGAATCTTCAATGTAAAACAGTCCCAGTTTTCTCGCACAACCGCCAAACATTGTTGATTAATATTGCTATTCTTGCATATCAAGTGTGAAATCTATACGTTCTATATTGTAGACAGGAACTTTAAGTTTTCTCTGTCCATTCGAGATATTTATGTGTAAATTTCAACTTGTGAAACGTTACTGTTCATGCTTGATGTTTACTATTCTTTTGTTCAGTATCACGTGATCTGACCTTGGTGGTGTGTGTCTGGGAAGCTCCGGCTGTGGAACTTTATTCCAGTCCTTCGTGTCACATGGCAGTGTTCGACATCAATCGCTGGTACCACTCACAGATGCCCCCAAGTGTGAGGTACGGGTAAAAATATGATAGAGACCAAGGCCCTGTTCACACGATACCGGATTCGTTTGATACCGGATTACTTTTCGTACCGGATAGGCCTTGCGTTCACGCGGCTCCGCTGCTATCCGATACGCTTTGTATCGTTTTCCGGAGCGATTTGACTCCGCTGTGGAAGTGGTATGAAAACCAATCCGATACGTTCCGTTGTCGTGTGAACGCTCGAATCCGATACGTTCCACTTTGGCAACTAAAAAGTCCGTGCGATTTTTCAAAAATTAAAGCAAACATAGCGATACAAACTACGTTTTAAATGAACAATCCGCCAGCAAATATAATATATCTTTAACATGGCATGTTTAAGCTTTTAACAATGTATTATCGCAGTGTGAAAAGCTTCTTTCTAGTATTATTGTAATTGCAACATATATTCCGTCGTATTTGGACTTTACACTCTTCCAGTCCTTGCGCCCATTCGTAAAAAACCTTAATACGCCTAAGAAAAAACTCTACTTAGTTATCTGTCAAAAAAATTCTCATTTTCTTACGAAATATTTGAATTAGCAACCATCGTCGTTATCGCTTGCACGTACAAGTACTGGGGCGATATAAAAACTTATGTATCGTCTTACGAATCCGGCATCGTGTGAACAGAGTGCATTTTTCGTATCGGATTGCTCTGCGAATCCGGTATCGTGTGAACAGGGCCATAGATTAACATACCATAGTTATGTCTATATGTTTATAGATGTAGATCGTCCAGGTTAGTAGAGTCCTGAGAAGGACTGCTGGTGTTGATGTTGAACCACCTTTTTAGACCCACCGAGCTTATGATAGTATTTACCATTGGCAATATATGCTGATTTTCCGAGAGGAGTGCATCGTTATCCTAGCCCAAGTTGCAAGGGCGTCGGCTATTGCGGATTTTTCGGCCTTAGAGATGAGTGAACCCAGCGAAATGAAAGTGTTACTACCTTTTCAAAAATATTTTATATGTTTTTTACGGAATGCACATTTGGTAATTTATTTAAATTTTAATGTTTCAATTAAAACACGCATGGTAATACTCAATTGGAAATGGTGGTGGTGTTAAATATTTAATTTTCTTTGAAGAGAGAAGCTCTACCTTTACTTAGTCTTATTGTACATAGCGTCTAATACTGTCATATTAATCGTCTACAATACGTAATACCATTTTAGAATTTTTCTTGTTAGGGGCTGGAAAAGTTTTTTGGGGGTGTGCACTTTCCTGAACCCCACGTCAGAAAATCCGCCCTTCGTGGCGCATTAATTTTAGTTTCTACTATATTTTTATTATGTATAGGGATGCGATGTACGGCAGCAAGGATCCCACGTGTCCTTTCTTATCCGTCTATTCACTCGCTGATGTGTTGGATACTGCAACACCGGATGCTCTTGTTGTAAGTGTATGGTTATGTATCCATATTTATCCATATGCATCCATCAGTGCTTTGATTTGTTGCTGCGTCTTATGTTGATTTTACTCTAGCAGCTTTCATTAATTCTCCATGTTTCATTTCAATTTTATTTTAATTGTTAAAGGTAGATAACATTATATGTTAGTAGATGTAGATCGTCCAGGTTGGGAGAGTCCTGAGAAGGACTGTTGGTGTTGATGTTGACTGACGTTTCGACAACCTTAGCGGCAATCATCTTCAGAGTCAAGTTAGTCGAAACGTAAGTCAACATCAACACAAACAGTCGTTCTCATGACTCTTCTAACCGGGACGATCTACATCTACAAACATTTCACGATACTCTCGGGTTCAAACCATTTACCTTGGTAGATAACGTTAGTAAATAAAAATTGTCCTGTAAGTAGCAACTTTTTTTTCTTTGCAAGGATGTGTCTGTTCGGCCGAATGAAATAACAAGATTTTCAACGACTTACGGAGCTCTACCTGAACAATTCTTTTGGGCGTCTTCCTTGACATTTGGTAAGTTTTTATTTTAATGAGGTACGACTGTGCTATGTCGTTCTACTTGGACAATTTCATTGGTCAAAAATCTTTTATCAGTTGTAATTTTTTTGTCTCAATGGCACTCTAGCTATATATTAGACCAAAAGCCTTCTCATTATTAACTTGTGATCTCATTTAAAGTCTGTTTTTCAAAGACAAAATTCGTCACGATTATATAGATGCAATTCATTTGTCGCCATTCGTTGTAGCTGAGGCTATATGGTTAAAATTTTGTTGTATTTTGTCGGCAATATCGCTTTAAGAAAATCCGACTGACAAAAGACTGCTAAAATATGATGAACGGGATTTCGATTTTCATACATCAGATTGTGCATGTGGAATAAATAAAACAAATAGCGACAGCTGGGGCTTTTTCATACATCAGATTGGTCATGTGGAATAAATGAAACAAATAGCGACAGCTGGGGCTTTTCAAGCACTTAAGTCACACCTTTTTGTTTTTTCTAAGGGAGAGGACCCTAAAATATTTTGCAACCGACGTTTGTACGCAGTTTATTATTTTGCGTTACTCTTCACGAGTAACGACAAATACACAAGAAAGAAATTGTAGTTCATTTTAAACCTTCTATGCGAGTTCAACATGTTTGAAATTAAATATTTGAGTATGCATGTGTGTATATATGTTTGTTATGTAATATTTTGTGATGTCATAACGATGTCGTTTGCATATTGAAGAAAACTTACATATCTCCAAAAAGAAAAAATATTGAAACTCTAGTAAAGAAGCTATTTAGCCATTTTAAATTGCCTTTACAATGCAATCAAAAAACACTGTGGTAAGATTTGGTATCATAAACACTTCAATTGAACGCAATGTTCAAAAGATAAGTAATGTTGAGTTAAACTGGAAATTAAACAATCAAGTTGTATGATCTTATTTACCATTTATACAGCACCACTTATCCAGCACCAAAACATTGACAAGTTGCGTTTTTCGTTGTTTGTTGATCTTTTGTTAATCCACGATTTAGATGTCGCGTGCTTGATGTGACGCCATGCTTCGCTTAATATTTACATATAAATAAATTAGGGGAAAACCCTACATTTAGAAATATAGTCATAACTCTTGATCTATTTCGTCCAACTTTTTTAAACTTCACAATTCTATAGTATTTTATATCTTCTATAATATAACAAAGATCTGGAGATGGCACAAACTTAGAAACAGAAAAATATTCACTTTAAAGATATGTGACGCCATGCTCGACTTAATAATTATATATAAATATATTAGCAGAAAGCGCAAAAAATTAGAAAATTACTCATAACTCTGGATTTATTCATTCGGATATTTTCAAACTTCACAATTCTATAGTATTTTATATCCTCCATAATATCTGAAAGATTTGGAGGTGGCACAAACTTAGAATTCAAAAAAAATTTACTTTGAATTATGTGACACCATGCTTCGCTTAATAATTATATATAAATATAATAGCAGAAAGCGCAAAAGTTTAGAAAATTAGTCATAACTCTGGATGTATTCACTCGGATATTTTCAAACTTCACAATTCTATAGTATATTATATCCTCCATAATATCTGAAAGATTTGGAGGTGGCACAAACTTAGAATTAAAAAAAAATTTACTTTAAAATTATGTGACGCCATGCTTCGCTTAATATTTACATATAAATAAATTAGGGGAAAACCCTACATTTAGAAATATAGTCATAACTCTTGATCTATTTCGTCCAACTTTTTTAAATTTCACAATTCTATAGTACTTTATATCTTCTATAATATAACAAAGATCTGGAGATGGCACAAACTTAGAAACAGAAAAATATTCACTTTAAAGATATGTGACGCCATGCTTGACTTAATAATTATATATAAATATATTAGCAGAAAGCGCAAAAAGCAAAAGTTAATAACATAAAATAATTATATTTATTAATATAAATATGCAAAATAATTATGTTTTGTCGTTTTTATTTTTATTGATAATTGTGCTTATTGCAGTTTGAAAGTGAGGACACATTTATTCTTATTCTTATGTCACCAATGAGGCCAGGCTTAAACTCTTTTAGTTGCATTGTAGCAGATCTGCAGCGATCGCCAGAGGCGTAACTAGAACGTTAATTGTGTGTGTGGGTGTGCACATTCATATATTCCGTTGTCCCTACTGATAAATTAAATTGAATTTCAAAAGAAATCTGTCGGGCGAAACTGACTATAAGAATATTTACCCCTCATTTTACGTTCTAGTTTAGCCTCTGTCAATCGCGAAAGCAGGTAAGAAAATTCGCCACAATGTAACACGATATCACGAATTTGATAAATGTTATCCATATAAAGCGTTTCTGTATTTGTATCGTGTAAGTGACTTGAATCTGAAGATAACTACCGCTAAGGTTTTCAAAACGTCAGTCAACATCAACACCAATGGTCCTTCTCAGGACTCTGGACGATCTACATCCGCAAAGAAGTAATGAGTGAGACGTGGTTGTCTATTTATTCACGAGGTTTTAATGGTTTGCTTTTGTGTTCTCGCCCGTAAAAATCGTTAAAAACACTCCTGATCGTGTTAATAAATTTTTCATTTCAATGTTAGCTCACCGAAAGTTCTTTGTCAAAGATATCAAGATTTGCTTTATTGGGAAGCTGTTGTTCAAAACATGACCATGTCGTTTAATTTTCGACTAGGCGAGATCACAACCCTTAAAGGTCGCTGCGACATGGATACAGTAACCATGACTGAATTGAAGCAAGTTTTGAAGGAGCAAGAAGATCACATCGACCAGTTAGAGGCGTGTAATGGCGATCTAAGGCTTGGCCGCGATCATGTCGAAAAGCGTTTGAAGGGCGTTCGCGAAGAACTCGAGGAAGCACAGAAAAATCTCCAGGGACTTGAAAATGAGATAGCTCATAATGCTGATGTCTTGAAGGAGAAAAGGAAATGTTGGACAAGAAACTTATTCAAAACTTTAGTAGAATGCTTGAGGCGAAAGAAGAGGTTAGTAAATTGTACGTTTAGATTTTCTTTCTGTGCGATGTTTTATTCATGCTGCATACGCACAAGATTGTCAAAACTCTTTGTTCTTGTTATTTTTATTGATAATTGTGCTTATTGCAGTTTGAAAGTGAGGACACATTTATTCTTATTCTTATGTCACCAATGAGGCCAGGCTTAAACTCTTTAGTTGCATTGTCGCAGATCTGCAGCGATCGCCAGAGGCGTAACTAGAACGTTAATTGTGTGTGGGGTGCACATTCATATATTCCGTTGTCCCTACTGATAAATTAAATTGAATTTCAAAAGAAATCTGTCGGGCGAAACTGACTATAAGAATATTTACCCCTCATTTTACGTTCTAGTTTAGCCTCTGTCAATCGCCAATGCAGGTAAGAAAATTCGCCACGATGTAACACGATATCACGAATTTGATAAATGTTATCCATATAAAGCGTTTCTGTATTTGTATCGTGTAAGTGACTTGAATCTGAAGATGACTACCGCTAAGGTTTTCAAAACGTCAGTCAACATCAACACCAATGGTCCTTCTCAGGACTCTGGACGATCTACATCCGCAAAGAAGTAATGAGTGAGACGTGGTTGTCTATTTATTCACGAGGTTTTAATGGTTTGCTTTTGTGTTCTCGCCCGTAAAAATCGTTAAAAACACTCCTGATCGTGTTAATAAATTTTTTATTTCAATGTTAGCTCATCGAGAGTTCTTTGTCAAAGAATTCAAGATTTGCTTCATTGGGAAGTTGTTGTTGTTCAAAACATGACCATGTCGTTTAATTTTCGACTAGGCGAGATCACAACCCTTAAAGGTCGCTGCGACATGGATACAGTAACCATGACTGAATTGAAGCAAGTTTTGAAGGAGCAAGAAGATCACATCGACCAGTTAGAGGCGTGTAATGGCGATCTAAGGCTTGGCCGCGATCATGTCGAAAAGCGTTTGAAGGGCGTTCGCGAAGAACTCGAGGAAGCACAGAAAAATCTCCAGGGACTTGAAAATGAGATAGCTCATAATGCTGATGTCTTGAAGGAGAAAAAGGAAATGTTGGATGTGCACAAGAAACTTATTCAAAACTTTAGTAGAATGCTTGAGGCGAAAGAAGAGGTTAGTAAATTGTACGTTTAGATTTTCTCTATTCTGTGCGATGTTTTATTCATGTTGCATACGCACAAGATTGTCAAACTCTTTGTTCTTGTTATTTTATTGATAATTGTGCTTATTGCAGTTTGAAAGTGAGGACACATTTATTCTTATTCTTATGTCACCAATGAGGCCAGGCTTAAACTCTTTTAGTTGCATTGTCGCAGATCTGCAGCGATCGCCAGAGGCGTAACTAGAACGTTAATTGTGTGGGTGTGCACATTCATATATTCCGTTGTACCTACTGATAAATTAAATTGAATTTCAAAAGAAATCTGTCGGGCGAAACTGACTATAAGAATATTTACCCTCATTTTACGTTCTAGTTTAGCCTCTGTCAATCGCGAAAGCAGGTAAGAAAATTCGCCACGATGTAACACGATATCACGAATTTGATAAATGTTATCCATATAAAGCGTTTCTGTATTTGTATCGTGTAAGTGACTTGATTCTGAAGATGACTACCGGTAAGGTTTTCAAAACGTCAGTCAACATCAACACCAATGGTCCTTCTCAGGACTCTGGACGATCTACATCCGCAAAGAAGTAATGAGTGAGACGTGGTTGTCTATTTATTCACGAGGTTTTAATGGTTTGCTTTTGTGTTCTCGCCCGTAAAAATCGTTAAAAACACTCCTGATCGTGTTAATAAATTTTTTATTTCAATGTTAGCTCATCGAGAGTTCTTTGTCAAAGAATTCAAGATTTGCTTCATTGGGAAGTTGTTGTTGTTCAAAACATGACCATGTCGTTTAATTTTCGACTAGGCGAGATCACAACCCTTAAAGGTCGCTGCGACATGGATACAGTAACCATGACTGAATTGAAGCAAGTTTTGAAGGAGCAAGAAGATCACATCGACCAGTTAGAGGCGTGTAATGGCGATCTAAGGCTTGGCCGCGATCATGTCGAAAAGCGTTTGAAGGGCGTTCGCGAAGAACTCGAGGAAGCACAGAAAATCTCCAGGGACTTGAAAATGAGATAGCTCATAATGCTGATGTCTTGAAGGAGAAAAGGAAATGTTGGATGTGCACAAGAAACTTATTCAAAACTTTAGTAGAATGCTTGAGGCGAAAGAAGAGGTTAGTAAATTGTACGTTTAGATTTTCTATTCTGTGCGATGTTTTATTCATGTTGCATACGCACAAGATTGTCAAACTCTTTGTTCTTGTTATTTTATTGATAATTGTGCTTATTGCAGTTTGAAAGTGAGGACACATTTATTCTTATTCTTATGTCACCAATGAGGCCAGGCTTAAACTCTTTTGTTGCGCAGATCTGCAGCGATCGCCAGAGGCGTAACTAGAACGTTAATTGTGTGTGTGGTGTGCACATTCATATATTCCGTTGTCCCTACTGATAAATTAAATTGAATTTCAAAAGAAATCTGTCGGGCGAAACTGACTATAAGAATATTTACCCCTCATTTTACGTTCTAGTTTAGCCTCTGTCAATCGCGAAAGCAGGTAAGAAAATTCGCCACGATGTAACACGATATCACGAATTTGATAAATGTTATCCATATAAAGCGTTTCTGTATTTGTATCGTGTAAGTGACTTGATTCTGAAGATGACTACCGGTAAGGTTTTCAAAACGTCAGTCAACATCAACACCAATGGTCCTTCTCAGGACTCTGGACGATCTACATCTGCAAAGAAGTAATGAGTGAGACGTGGTTGTCTATTTATTCACGAGGTTTTAATGGTTTGCTTTTGTGTTCTCGCCCGTAAAAATCGTTAAAAACACTCCTGATCGTGTTAATAAATTTTTTATTTCAATGTTAGCTCATCGAGAGTTCTTTGTCAAAGAATTCAAGATTTGCTTGATTGGGAAGCTGTTGTTGTTCAAAACATGACCATGTCGTTTAATTTTCGACTAGGCGAGATCACAACCCTTAAAGGTCGCTGCGACATGGATACAGTAACCATGACTGAATTGAAGCAAGTTTTGAAGGAGCAAGAAGATCACATCGACCAGTTAGAGGCGTGTAATGGCGATCTAAGGCTTGGCCACGATCATGTCGAAAAGCGTTTGAAGGGCGTTTGCGAAGAACTCGAGGAAGCACAGAAAAATCTCCAGGGACTTGAAAATGAGATAGCTCATAATGCTGATGTCTTGAAGGAGAAAAAGGAAATGTTGGAAGTGCACAAGAAACTTATTCAAAACTTTAGTAGAATGCTTGAGGCGAAAGAAGAGGTTAGTAAATTGTACGTTTAGATTTTCTCTATTCTGTGCGATGTTTTATTCATGCTGCATACGCACAAGATTGTCAAAACTCTTTGTTCTTGTTATTTTTATTGATAATTGTGCTTATTGCAGTTTGAAAGTGAGGACACATTTATTCTTATTCTTATGTCACCAATAAGGCCAGGCTTAAACTCTTTCAGTTGCATTGTCGCAGATCTGCAGCGATCGCCAGAGGTGTAACTAGAACGTTAATTGTGTGTGGGGGTGTGCACATTCATATATTCCGTTGTCCCTACTGATAAATTAAATTGAATTTCAAAAGAAATCTGTCGGGCGAAACTGACTATAAGAATATTTACCCCTCATTTTACGTTCTAGTTTAGCCTCTGTCAATCGCGAAAGCAGGTAAGAAAATTCGCCACGATGCAACACGATATCACGAATTTAATAAATGTTATCCATATAAAGCGTTTCTGTATTTGTATCGTGTAAGTGACTGGATTCTGAAGATGACTACCGCTAAGGTTTTCAAAACGTCAGTCAACATCAACACCAATGGTCCTTCTCAGGACTCTGGACGATTTACATCCGCAAAGAAGTAATGAGTGAGACGTGGTTGTCTATTTATTCACGAGGTTTTAATGGTTTGCTTTTGTGTTCTCGCCCGTAAAAATCGTTAAAAACATTCCTGATCGTGCTAATAAATTTTTTATTTCAATGTTAGCTCATCAAGAGTTCTTTGTCAAAGAATTCAAGATTTGCTTCATTGGGAAGTTGTTGTTGTTCAAAACATGACCATGTCGTTTAATTTTCGACTAGGCGAGATCACAACCCTTAAAGGTCGCTGCGACATGGATACAGTAACCATGACTGAATTGAAGCAAGTTTTGAAGGAGCAAGAAGATCACATCGACCAGTTAGAGGCGTGTAATGGCGATCTAAGGCTTGGCCGCGATCATGTCGAAAAGCGTTTGAAGGGCGTTCGCGAAGAACTCGAGGAAGCACAGAAAAATCTCCAGGGACTTGAAAATGAGATAGCTCATAATGCTGATGTCTTGAAGGAGAAAAAGGAAATGTTGGATGTGCACAAGAAACTTATTCAAAACTTTAGTAGAATGCTTGAGGCGAAAGAAGAGGTTAGTAAATTGTACGTTTAGATTTTCTCTATTCTGTGCGATGTTTTATTCATGTTGCATACGCACAAGATTGTCAAACTCTTTGTTCTTGTTATTTTTATTGATAATTGTGCTTATTGCAGTTTGAAAGTGAGGACACATTTATTCTTATTCTTATGTCACCAATGAGGCCAGGCTTAAACTCTTTTAGTTGCATTGTCGCAGATCTGCAGCGATCGCCAGAGGCGTAACTAGAACGTTAATTGTGTGTGGGGGTGTGCACATTCATATATTCCGTTGTCCCTACTGATAAATTAAATTGAATTTCAAAAGAAATCTGTCGTGCGAAACTGACTATAAGAATATTTACCCCTCATTTTACGTTCTAGTTTAGCCTCTGTCAATTGCGAAAGCAGGTAAGAAAATTCGCCACGATGTAACACGATATCACGAATTTGATAAATGTTATCCATATAAAGCGTTTCTGTATTTGTATCGTGTAAGTGACTTGAATCTGAAGATGACTACCGCTAAGGTTTTCAAAACGTCAGTCAACATCAACACCAATGGTCCTACTCAGGACTCTGGACGATCTACATCCGCAAAGAAGTAATGAGTGAGACGTGGTTGTCTATTTATTCACGAGGTTTTAATGGTTTGCTTTTGTGTTCTCGCCCGTAAAAATCGTTAAAAACACTCCTGATCGTGCTAATAAATTTTTTATTTCAATGTTAGCTCATCAAGAGTTCTTTGTCAAAGAATTCAAGATTTGCTTCATTGGGAAGTTGTTGTTGTTCAAAACATGACCATGTCGTTTAATTTTCGACTAGGCGAGATCACAACCCTTAAAGGTCGCTGCGACATGGATACAGTAACCATGACTGAATTGAAGCAAGTTTTGAAGGAGCAAGAAGATCACATCGACCAGTTAGAGGCGTGTAATGGCGATCTAAGGCTTGGCCACGATCATGTGGAAAAGCGTTTGAAGGGCGTTTGCGAAGAACTCGAGGAAGCACAGAAAAATCTCCAGGGACTTGAAAATGAGATAGCTCATAATGCTGATGTCTTGAAGGAGAAAAAGGAAATGTTGGAAGTGCACAAGAAACTTATTCAAAACTTTAGTAGAAAGTTTCGCACAATCTGCGCGAAGTGCTGGTTCACTGCTCTCGAAACTTCACTCGAACGATGGGACTGTATTTTGACAATTGTATTTAACACTTGATAGGATATTTACAGTGGTTTGTGCACGATTTATGATACGGAGTTCCAAACGTTGGTTCTTTGCGACACAAATATGTTATTGAAACGTTGAGATTACGGCCAACCGTCAATCTTTAAACTTGAAACTTATTCAAACGCTATCGCCTCCTGCGATACGATTTCCAACTTATCACTTTTGTACGTCTAACAACGTCTGTTTTTCCGAACTCCCGAACCAACGCTTGCAAGCTCTTATTTATATTATAATTATTAGGATATAATTTTTGGGCGTTTGCATGACTTGCACTACGCCATTCCGTTTATAGAGTACCGTCATTACCTACATCCTACCGCAATGCCACATTGGGTAGAAAAAGTGTTCCTAAGTATTTTGAATTTACGTACAGGATTTCCACTGAAACCACAGTTTAATAACTATATACGTATTTTCCTATTTGTCTAGTAATATATGACTTAACATTTTACATAAACATAATATCCGTTATATCTTAGTATCAAAAATATGACACAGTCACACTCTACATAACATAACATGACAATTTACAACACACTCCCCACCTTGATTAGTCCCACTAATCAAGCATATTCTGTGTCTTCCAGACAGAATCAAGAGCAGCAGCTCTTTTGGTCTGCCCGTATTTTCTACCTTCCTTCCTTTCAGTCCTTTCTCTCTCTTCTCGCTCACACTCGCCTTCGTCGTGCTTCAACTCGGTAGGAAAGAGTTTTTGACGGGACGATTAAGGTGAACGACTTTACCGTTCCTAACTAACCGAACCTTAGCGCCTCTAACCACACCATCTTTCCCTACAAACAACTCCTCTATTACACCTGTTTTCCAATTTCCCTTTCACATTATCCTCATAAACAGTCACGACATCTCCCTTTGCACTACCCTATTAGTATTGTCTTTGTCCTGCTATGAAACTCTCTTAAATCAACTAAATACTCTTTCGCCACCTATTCCAGAAATGCATTTTTTCTTACTCAAATACTGATACCGTTTTTACAGTAACCCTCATCAGACTCCTCTTCACCAGACACTTCGTCTGGCATGGACAACAACCTTCTTCCTGTCACCAAATGCGACGGAGTTAGTGGTTCACTACCCACCTCGTCGTACGTGTAAGTCAATGGCCTAGAATTTAATGTTGCTTCGACTTCTACCAGTATTGTCAATAATTCGTCAAATGTCAACCTCGCATTCCTAGTACCTTCTTCAAGCACCTCTTCACTGACCTAACCATCCTTTCAAAAAATCCACCCCACCAGGGAGCTCTTTCTAGATTGAATTTCCACTCTATCCTATTGTTTCCCAAATACCCTTGCATTCTTTCATTTTTATAGAGGTTTTCTAAAGTCTTGACTGTTGCTTTGAACGTTTTGCATTGTCTGACACCATTAATGATGGGGTCCCCCTTCTAGCTGCAAATCGTCTTAGGCATCTCACAAATTCATCCGCAGACAAATCTTTAACTAAGTCTAAATGTAAGGCCCTAGTTACACAACATGAAAATAATGCGATATAAACCTTATCTGTGCCCCCCGGTGCATTCTTCACATATAATGGTCCTGCAAAATCTACCCCTGTTTTCGAAAATGGTTCTGATTGCTCTACTCTAAATGCTGGAAGGTTTGCTTCGCTAGGTCTATTGTATGATTTACCCTCTAATTTCTTGCACACGATACATTTGTTGAGAATCGATTTTACCCTTTGTCTTCCTTGGGGAATCCAAAATCTAGACCTTATCTCAGCCAAAGTAGCCCTTACCCCACTATGATGTACCTTCCTGTGGCTGTGCTCAACTATTAATTCTGTCAATCGACCTTCTTTGGTAGTAAAGTAGGAAATTTTGTTTCCTCTTCCAAATCTGACTCTGCTAGCCTACCCTGACATTTTAACAACCCATCCTTTTCTACTACGTTGAGCTGTACCTCTAACTGCTTAAACTTATCTTCCTTCTTTAACCTGTCCTGTGAAGCCTTTATCCAAAGTCTTTCTGCTTTCTGTAACTCTTGACTCCCTAACTCCGTGAAAGTCAAATCCTCATGCTTCCCTTTGATCCTAGCAATCAAATTCCTGACAAACCGTGCAACCCATGCCGTTACACGAAATAACCTTTCCACCCTACTGTATCTATCTATACAGATAATCTGGTCTATACCAAATTTCTCACTAGCGTCTACTACTAACACAGCCACCTTTCTTTCTTCTTGAACACTCTCCTCGGTCTTACTCACTACAGACTGAGGCCATTCCTGCTCTAGACTGCTCAACCAATTTTGTCCATTCCACCAAATTGAATCCTCTTCTAACTTTGACGCAAACACCCCGCGACTCCCTAAGTCTGCAGGATTTTCTACCCCTGGACAATGCCCCCAGCTTTCCTTACTCGTCAATGATAGTATCTCATTCACTCTATGTCTCACAAACTGCTTCCATTCACCTCTATTCTGAATCCAATACAAAGCAGTGATGCTATCTAACCAATATCTTGACTTCAATTTTCCTACCTGCCCTTCTAAAGCTTTCCCTACTGACTCTACCAATTTAGCTAACATAAGCGCAGACATAAGCTCTAAACGTGGAATCGTCAGTTTCTTAAGGGGTGCAACTCTAGTTTTCGCTGCCAATAATTTTACATGAACGGAAGAGCTTGTGCGACAAACAAAATACACTACTGCGCAATAAGCCTTCTCACTTGCGTCGCCAAATCCATGGAGTTCGCACGACTCGACCCTTTCGATTACCTTACTGTAAACGCATCTATTAATTTTAATTCTTTGAACCCTAACTAAATCCTCAATCCACTCTAAGTATATCTTTGCGTGCTTACCCTCTATTTTGTCATCCCAATCAACCTTATCAACACACAATTGTTGAAACAAAATCTTCATCAAAATAATAACGGCACTAATTAAACCCAACGGATCAAATATCTTTGCTAATGCGCTTAGCAGGCTTCTCTTTGTTAGTTTCGTCTTATCACCTAAGTCTTCTACAAACTTTCGTAGATCAAACGTAAACAGGTCATTGTCACAATCCCAGCCTATACCTAAAACTTTTGCGCAGTCATTGTTATTTAGAGCCCCCAAACTCCATTGTGTGAATGTCTCGTCGTCTGAATCTGTAGTCGTCGTCACTTTGTTTCCGCATTCACGTTGCTCTATAAGCGCTCGCACGTTTCCATCATTCGTAAGCCATTTTCTTAACTTAAACCCGCCTTGGGACATCCTAAATTTCGCTTTCTCGTACAACTCGATTGTTTCCTGTGCACTCTTGCCCCCCGAAACTAGATCATCCACGTAAAACCCCTCATTCAATTTCTGAGCAAGCACTGGATCTGATTCTGCAAATTGCGCAATGTGATGTCTAAGCGTAGCGTTAAGCAGGAAGGGCGATGCATTTAGTCCAAACACTACTCTACAAAACCTATACACTACAACCTCTAAATTACCATTAGTCGCATCTCTCACCCACAAAAATCTCAAATAGTTCCTGTCTGCTTCGTCTACTTCTACGTTCAAAAAGGCTTTCTCAATGTCTCCTACCAAGGCCACTCTGCTCTCCTAAATCTAATTAATATGTCAAACAACAACGGCGTTAGTGGTGGTCCTACATGAAGACAGTCATTCAAAGAAGTCCCTCTCTTACCCTCTTTTGACGATGCGTCATAAACAATTCTCAATTTGGTTGTTTTGGCCTCTTTACGTATTACGGCTTGATGGGAAGGTAATGAACATTTACCCCAGGTTCAGACTCATCTACCCTTTCTATAACACCCGTTTCTAGCTGTTCCTTTATAATTTTATCATATTCTTTCAACAATGATGGCTCACTTGACAACCTCTTTATCTGCCCTTTCATGCGTGCTAAACTATTTGAATAATTTGACGGTAAGTGCTCATGACCCTGTTTCCATGGCAATTTTACTACATATTTTGACCCATTGAACTCTATTTTGTCAAGCAATGCTTCATGCACGTCATTAGTCTCTCTTACTCCAAGCGTTTCTAAATCCCACAATTTACTCACATCCCCATTAATGCTGTCTGCGTTTTGTGTTGCAATCTGTGAAACTAAATTAACGTGTGCGTTTTTCAAGTTCGAGCTCCCTTTCAGTGGACCGCTTATTACCCAACCTAAACAAGTATTGATGGCAACGGGTTCGTCATCCTTGCCCTAATTATCTCACCTTGTTGAAATGCCCAAAGGTTATCCGCACCTATCAAAACATCAACATCTAACGTGTCCTGCTTCAAATTAACGTCTGACAACCACAAATCCTTCAAATGCGAATACTTGTTCTTATCTACCTCAAGATGCTCATTTTTGATCGCGCAAATATGAGGAACTACTAAAGCCTCTACGCGTATTTTACGACCTCCTCGAACTGCCGATACCTCGCACTGAACAACCTCTGTCATTCTACCCTTGTTACTTCCACCACCGAATGTATTAACTTCCAACCATTCTCGCCTAGCAACGTTAAGCTTGGCACACCTCTTCGCGTCACACGTCACAAAGAATTTCTGACTTCCCGAGTCGAAAAGCACTCGCACTCTTGTCTTACCCTTTCCTATAAGTACTCCCTGCGCAGTTTGAAGAGCCACTCTACTTCTAGTACTAACGTGGACATTAGCTACACTAACCTGTCCACTTTCTTCCCGACTATTTCTTTCATCCTTCTGGTTATTATTACTCTTATCACATATGGAAACATGATGACCCTCCCCACATACGCTACGTTTAATACGTGCACGACAATCTTTAGCTAAATGTCCCTTATTTAAACAAATGAAACATCGTTTGAACTTACGAAGAAGTTGCATCCGTTCTTGCCGCCCTGTTACCTTGGTACATTCTTCATGCTTGTGCTCTCCACAGCAGAAAGCACAAAACAATCGGTTGTTTCGGCTGGCAAACAACCCGCTAGCTGTTCCCGGTTCCCGTCGTCTTCTTCGTTGATCTTCTTCTTTCTCTCCGACCGCTAATTTGTGGCATTCCCGCAGCTCCACTTCGGCTTGTAATGCGTCGACAAAATCTTTCATGCCCCACTCTAAGTAGTCTCTTCCCCTGGTAATCGTTAGTTTTAACGAGTCAGGTATCTTTGTCAGAAGATTGGGCACGACTATCTCGCAGTACGTTTCCTCCTTTACACCGAGCGCCTCGAGTCCTCGGTAATTTGTTTCGACCGCGTCGAAGAACTTGCGCAGCCTCGTCGTGTCACTCTCGTTGTACACGGGTTTTAAGTTCATCAAATCATTTACGTGTGCCCTTTGCACCATCACTTTGCTCCCGTACCTCCGTTCTAACACCTTCAGTGCTTCTGTATAGTTAATCGAAGTCAGAGCAAATCCCGAAATTGCTGACTTGGCCGGCTCCTCCACCAGTCCCCTCAGATAGGTGAATTTGTCTACCTCAGACAGTCCGTCATTGTTGTGAATGGAACTTTCGAAAGAGTCCCAGAATTCACGCCAATCTTGTATCTTGCCCGAGAACTTTTTCACCTCTAGTTTAGGCAGCTTCACTCTACAGCGTGCCCCACTGGATACTGTACTTGTCGATGTGTTGGCGAGTTCCTCGTTTCGTTTGTTCGTCTCTATCGTGCTCAGCGCTTCGTTAATTTCGGCCAACGCACCCAGAACTTCGCAGCCGTATTCCGATGAGCTGTCGATATCTGCTGCAATATCGTCATCCTTTTCCAACAAGCTCTGAATCTCATCGTCAACTTCGAAATTGTATCCAATTCTGTACGAGTACAAGCCGCATTTGTTCCAATTCGACTTTCCTTAGTGGCGCATTATCGTTTACCATACTTCTCACCTTGTTCACAACTTTTGTGGCGTACGATTTATGCCCACCTCGACTGTCGCTTTCTTGTCAGCTCTGACATCGTGAACAACCCTTTTTTATCCTATCTATGTGTTCTCGAATTCTGCTACTCTATCCGGCTCGAAGGACCACGTTTCGCACAATCTGCGCGAAGTGCTGGTTCACTGCTCTCGAAACTTCACTCGAACGATGGGACTGTATTTTGACAATTGTATTTAACACTTGATAGGATATTTACAGTGGTTTGTGCACGATTTATGATACGGAGTTCCAAACGTTGGTTCTTTGCGACACAAATATGTTATTGAAACGTTGAGATTACGGCCAACCGTCAATCTTTAAACTTGAAACTTATTCAAACGCTATCGCCTCCTGCGATACGATTTCCAACTTATCACTTTTGTACGTCTAACAACGTCTGTTTTTCCGAACTCCCGAACCAACGCTTGCAAGCTCTTATTTATATTATAATTATTAGGATATAATTTTGGGCGTTTGCATGACTTGCACTACGCCATTCCGTTTATAGAGTACCGTCATTACCTACATCCTACCGCAATGCCACATTGGGTAGAAAAGTGTTCCTAAGTATTTTGAATTTACGTACAGGATTTCCACTGAAACCACAGTTTAATAACTATATACGTATTTTCCTATTTGTCTAGTAATATATGACTTAACATTTTACATAAACATAATATCCGTTATATCTTAGTATCACAAATATGACACAGTCACACTCTACATAACATAACATGACAATTTACAACAGAATGCTTGAGGCGAAAGAAGAGGTTAGTAAATTGTACGTTTAGATTTTCTCTATTCTGTGCGATGTTTTATTCATGCTGCATACGCACAAGATTGTCAAAACTCTTTGTTCTTGTTATTTTTATTGATAATTGTGCTTATTGCAGTTTGAAAGTGAGGACACATTTATTCTTATTCTTATGTCACCAATGAGGCCAGGCTTAAACTCTTTTAGTTGCATTGTCGCAGATCTGCAGCGATCGCCAGAGGCGTAACTAGAACGTTAATTGTGTGTGGGGGTGTGCACATTCATATATTCCGTTGTCCCTACTGATAAATTAAATTGAATTTCAAAAGAAGCCTGTCGGGCGAAACTGACTATAAGAATATTTACCCCTCATTTTACGTTCTAGTTTAGCCTCTGTCAATCGCGAAAGCAGGTAAGAAAATTCGCCACGATGCAACACGATATCACGAATTTCATAAATGTTATCCATATAAAGCGTTTCTGTATTTGTATCGTGTAAGTGACTGGATTCTGAAGATGACTACCGCTAAGGTTTTCAAAACGTCAGTCAACATCAACACCAATGGTCCTTCTCAGGACTCTGGACGATTTACATCCGCAAAGAAGTAATGAGTGAGACGTGGTTGTCTATTTATTCACGAGGTTTTAATGGTTTGCTTTTGTGTTCTCGCCCGTAAAATCGTTAAAAACATTCCTGATCGTGTTAATAAATTTTCATTTCAATGTTAGCTCACCGAAAGTTCTTTGTCAAAGATATCAAGATTTGCTTTATTGGGAAGCTGTTGTTCAAAACATGACCATGTCGTTTAATTTTCGACTAGGCGAGATCACAACCCTTAAAGGTCGCTGCGACATGGATACAGTAACCATGACTGAATTGAAGCAAGTTTTGAAGGAGCAAGAAGATCACATCGACCAGTTAGAGGCGTGTAATGGCGATCTAAGGCTTGGCCGCGATCATGTCGAAAAGCGTTTGAAGGGCGTTCGCGAAGAACTCGAGGAAGCACAGAAAAATCTCCAGGGACTTGAAAATGAGATAGCTCATAATGCTGATGTCTTGAAGGAGAAAAAGGAAATGTTGGAAGTGCACAAGAAACTTATTCAAAACTTTAGTAGAATGCTTGAGGCGAAAGAAGAGGTTAGTAAATTGTACGTTTAGATTTTCTCTTTTCTGTGCGATGTTTTATTCATGCTGCATACGCACAAGATTGTCAAAACTCTTTGTTCTTGTTATTTTATTGATAATTGTGCTTATTGCAGTTTGAAAGTGAGGACACATTTATTCTTATTCTTATGTCACCAATGAGGCCAGGCTTAAACTCTTTTAGTTGCATTGTCGCAGATCTGCAGCGATCGCCAGAGGCGTAACTAGAACGTTAATTGTGTGTGTGGGTGTGCACATTCATATATTCCGTTGTCCCTACTGATAAATTAAATTGAATTTCAAAAGAAATCTGTCGGGCGAAACTGACTATAAGAATATTTACCCCTCATTTTACGTTCTAGTTTAGCCTCTGTCAATCGCGAAAGCAGGTAAGAAAATTCGCCACGATGTAACACGATATCACGAATTTGATAAATGTTATCCATATAAAGCGTTTCTGTATTTGTATCGTGTAAGTGACTTGAATCTGAAGATGACTACCGCTAAGGTTTTCAAAACGTCAGTCAACATCAACACCAATGGTCCTTCTCAGGACTCTGGACGATCTACATCCGCAAAGAAGTAATGAGTGAGACGTGGTTGTCTATTTATTCACGAGGTTTTAATGCTTTGCTTTTGTGTTCTCGCCCGTAAAAATCGTTAAAAACACTCCTGATCGTGCTAATAAATTTTTTATTTCAATGTTAGCTCATCAAGAGTTCTTTGTCAAAGAATTCAAGATTTGCTTCATTGGGAAGTTGTTGTTGTTCAAAACATGACCATGTCGTTTAATTTTCGACTAGGCGCGATCACAACCCTTAAAGGTCGCTGCGACATGGATACAGTAACCATGACTGAATTGAAGCAAGTTTTGAAGGAGCAAGAAGATCACATCGACCAATTAGAGGCGTGTAATGGCGATCTAAGGCTTGGCCACGATCATGTGGAAAAGCGTTTGAAGGGCGTTTGCGAAGAACTCGAGGAAGCACAGAAAAATCTCCAGGGACTTGAAAATGAGATAGCTCATAATGCTGATGTCTTGAAGGAGAAAAAGGAAATGTTGGAAGTGCACAAGAAACTTATTCAAAACTTTAGTAGAATGCTTGAGGCGAAAGAAGAGGTTAGTAAATTGTACGTTTAGATTTTCTCTATTCTGTGCGATGTTTTATTCATGCTGCATACGCACAAGATTGTCAAAACTCTTTGTTCTTGTTATTTTTATTGATAATTGTGCTTATTGCAGTTTGAAAGTGAGGACACATTTATTCTTATTCTTATGTCACCAATGAGGCCAGGCTTAAACTCTTTTAGTTGCATTGTCGCAGATCTGCAGCGATCGCCAGAGGTGTAACTAGAACGTTAATTGTGTGTGGGGGTGTGCACATTCATATATTCCGTTGTACCTACTGATAAATTAAATTGAATTTCAAAAGAAATCTGTCGGGCGAAACTGACTATAAGAATATTTACCCCTCATTTTACGTTCTAGTTTAGCCTCTGTCAATCGCGAAAGCAGGTAAGAAAATTCGCCACGATGCAACACGATATCACGAATTTAATAAATGTTATCCATATAAAGCGTTTCTGTATTTGTATCGTGTAAGTGACTGGATTCTGAAGATGACTACCGCTAAGGTTTTCAAAACGTCAGTCAACATCAACACCAATGGTCCTTCTCAGGACTCTGGACGATTTACATCCGCAAAGAAGTAATGAGTGAGACGTGGTTGTCTATTTATTCACGAGGTTTTAATGGTTTGCTTTTGTGTTCTCGCCCGTAAAAATCGTTAAAAACATTCCTGATCGTGTTAATAAATTTTTCATTTCAATGTTAGCTCACCGAAAGTTCTTTGTCAAAGATATCAAGATTTGCTTTATTGGGAAGCTGTTGTTCAAAACATGACCATATCGTTTAATTTTCGACTAGGCGAGATCACAACCCTTAAAGGTCGCTGCGACATGGATACAGTAACCATGACTGAATCGAAGCAAGTTTTGAAGGAGCAAGAAGATCACATCGACCAGTTAGAGGCGTGTAATGGCGATCTAAGGCTTGGCCACGATCATGTGGAAAAGCGTTTGAAGGGCGTTTGCGAAGAACTCGAGGAAGCACAGAAAAATCTCCAGGGACTTGAAAATGAGATAGCTCATAATGCTGATGTCTTGAAGGAGAAAAAGGAAATGTTGGAAGTGCACAAGAAACTTATTCAAAACTTTAGTAGAATGCTTGAGGCGAAAGAAGAGGTTAGTAAATTGTACGTTTAGATTTTCTCTATTCTGTGCGATGTTTTATTCATGCTGCATACGCACAAGATTGTCAAAACTCTTTGTTCTTGTTATTTTTATTGATAATTGTGCTTATTGCAGTTTGAAAGTGAGGACACATTTATTCTTATTCTTATGTCACCAATGAGGCCAGGCTTAAACTCTTTTAGTTGCATTGTCGCAGATCTGCAGCGATCGCCAGAGGCGTAACTAGAACGTTAATTGTGTGTGGGGGTGTGCACATTCATATATTCCGTTGTACCTACTGATAAATTAAATTGAATTTCAAAAGAAATCTGTCGGGCGAAACTGACTATAAGAATATTTACCCCTCAATTTACGTTCTAGTTTAGCCTCTGTCAATCGCGAAAGCAGGTAAGAAAATTCGCCACGATGTAACACGATATCACGAATTTGATAAATGTTATCCATATAAAGCGTTTCTGTATTTGTATCGTGTAAGTGACTTGATTCTGAAGATGACTACCGCTAAGGTTTTCAAAACGTCCGTCAACATCAACACCAATGGTCCTTCTCAGGACTCTGGACGATCTACATCCGCAAAGAAGTAATGAGTGAGACGTGGTTGTCTATTTATTCACGAGGTTTTAATGCTTTGCTTTTGTGTTCTCGCCCGTAAAAATCGTTAAAAACACTCCTAATCGTGTTAATAAATTTTTTATTTCAATGTTCGCTCATCGAGAGTTCTTTGTCAAAGAATTCAAGATTTGCTTGATTGGGAAGCTGTTGTTGTTCAAAACATGACCATGTCGTTTAATTTTCGACTAGGCGAGATCACAACCCTTAAAGGTCGCTGCGACATGGATACAGTAACCATGACTGAATTGAAGCAAGTTTTGAAGGAGCAAGAAGATCACATCGACCAGTTAGAGGCGTCTAATGGCGATCTAAGGCTTGGCCACGATCATGTGGAAAAGCGTTTGAAGGGCGTTTGCGAAGAACTCGAGGAAGCACAGAAAAATCTCCAGGGACTTGAAAATGAGATAGCTCATAATGCTGATGTCTTGAAGGAGAAAAAAGGAAATGTTGGAAGTGCACAAGAAACTTATTCAAAACTTTAGTAGAATGCTTGAGGCGAAAGAAGAGGTTAGTAAATTGTACGTTTAGATTTTCTCTATTCTGTGCGATGTTTTATTCATGCTGCATACGCACAAGATTGTCAAAACTCTTTGTTCTTGTTATTTTTATTGATAATTGTGCTTATTGCAGTTTGAAAGTGAGGACACATTTATTCTTATTCTTATGTCACCAATGAGGCCAGGCTTAAACTCTTTTAGTTGCATTGTCGCAGATCTGCAGCGATCGCCAGAGGCGTAACTAGAACGTTAATTGTGTGTGGGTGTGCACATTCATATATTCCGTTGTCCCTACTGATAAATTAAATTGAATTTCAAAAGAAATCTGTCGGGCGAAACTGACTATAAGAATATTTACCCCTCATTTTACGTTCTAGTTTAGCCTCTGTCAATCGCGAAAGCAGGTAAGAAAATTCGCCACGATGTAACACGATATCACGAATTTGATAAATGTTATCCATATAAAGCGTTTCTGTATTTGTATCGTGTAAGTGACTTGATTCTGAAGATGACTACCGCTAAGGTTTTCAAAACGTCAGTCAACATCAACACCAATGGTCCTTCTCAGGACTCTGGACGATCTACATCCGCAAAGAAGTAATGAGTGAGACGTGGTTGTCTATTTATTCACGAGGTTTTAATGGTTTGCTTTTGTGTTCTCGCCCGTAAAAATCGTTAAAAACATTCCTGATCGTGTTAATAAATTTTTCATTTCAATGTTAGCTCACCGAAAGTTCTTTGTCAAAGATATCAAGATTTGCTTTATTGGGAAGCTGTTGTTCAAAACATGACCATGTCGTTTAATTTTCGACTAGGCGAGATCACAACCCTTAAAGGTCGCTGCGACATGGATACAGTAACCATGACTGAATTGAAGCAAGTTTTGAAGGAGCAAGAAGATCACATCGACCAGTTAGAGGCGTGTAATGGCGATCTAAGGCTTGGCCGCGATCATGTCGAAAAGCGTTTGAAGGGCGTTCGCGAAGAACTCGAGGAAGCACAGAAAATCTCCAGGGACTTGAAAATGAGATAGCTCATAATGCTGATGTCTTGAAGGAGAAAAAGGAAATGTTGGAAGTGCACAAGAAACTTATTCAAAACTTTAGTAGAATGCTTGAGGCGAAAGAAGAGGTTAGTAAATTGTACGTTTAGATTTTCTCTTTTCTGTGCGATGTTTTATTCATGCTGCATACGCACAAGATTGTCAAAACTCTTTGTTCTTGTTATTTTTATTGATAATTGTGCTTATTGCAGTTTGAAAGTGAGGACACATTTATTCTTATTCTTATGTCACCAATGAGGCCAGGCTTAAACTCTTTTAGTTGCATTGTCGCAGATCTGCAGCGATCGCCAGAGGCGTAACTAGAACGTTAATTGTGTGTGTGGGTGTGCACATTCATATATTCCGTTGTCCCTACTGATAAATTAAATTGAATTTCAAAAGAAATCTGTCGGGCGAAACTGACTATAAGAATATTTACCCCTCATTTTACGTTCTAGTTTAGCCTCTGTCAATCGCGAAAGCAGGTAAGAAAATTCGCCACGATGTAACACGATATCACGAATTTGATAAATGTTATCCATATAAAGCGTTTCTGTATTTGTATCGTGTAAGTGACTTGAATCTGAAGATGACTACCGCTAAGGTTTTCAAAACGTCAGTCAACATCAACACCAATGGTCCTTCTCAGGACTCTGGACGATCTACATCCGCAAAGAAGTAATGAGTGAGACGTGGTTGTCTATTTATTCACGAGGTTTTAATGGTTTGCTTTTGTGTTCTCGCCCGTAAAAATCGTTAAAAACACTCCTGATCGTGCTAATAAATTTTTTATTTCAATGTTAGCTCATCGAGAGTTCTTTGTCAAAGAATTCAAGATTTGCTTCATTGGGAAGTTGTTGTTGTTCAAAACATGACCATGTCGTTTAATTTTCGACTAGGCGAGATCACAACCCTTAAAGGTCGCTGCGACATGGATACAGTAACCATGACTGAATTGAAGCAAGTTTTGAAGGAGCAAGAAGATCACATCGACCAGTTAGAGGCGTGTAATGGCGATCTAAGGCTTGGCCGCGATCATGTCGAAAAGCGTTTGAAGGGCGTTCGCGAAGAACTCGAGGAAGCACAGAAAAATCTCCAGGGACTTGAAAATGAGATAGCTCATAATGCTGATGTCTTGAAGGAGAAAAAGGAAATGTTGGAAGTGCACAAGAAACTTATTCAAAACTTTAGTAGAATGCTTGAGGCGAAAGAAGAGGTTAGTAAATTGTACGTTTAGATTTTCTCTATTCTGTGCGATGTTTTATTCATGCTGCATACGCACAAGATTGTCAAAACTCTTTGTTCTTGTTATTTTTATTGATAATTGTGCTTATTGCAGTTTGAAAGTGAGGACACATTTATTCTTATTCTTATGTCACCAATGAGGCCAGGCTTAAACTCTTTTAGTTGCATTGTCGCAGATCTGCAGCGATCGCCAGAGGCGTAACTAGAACGTTAATTGTGTGTGTGGTGTGCACATTCATATATTCCGTTGTCCCTACTGATAAATTAAATTGAATTTCAAAAGAAATCTGTCGGGCGAAACTGACTATAAGAATATTTACCCCTCATTTTACGTTCTAGTTTAGCCTCTGTCAATCGCGAAAGCAGGTAAGAAAATTCGCCACGATGTAACACGATATCACGAATTTGATAAATGTTATCCATATAAAGCGTTTCTGTATTTGTATCGTGTAAGTGACTTGAATCTGAAGATGACTACCGCTAAGGTTTTCAAAACGTCAGTCAACATCAACACCAATGGTCCTTCTCAGGACTCTGGACGATCTACATCCGCAAAGAAGTAATGAGTGAGACGTGGTTGTCTATTTATTCACGAGGTTTTAATGGTTTGCTTTTGTGTTCTCGCCCGTAAAAATCGTTAAAAACACTCCTGATCGTGCTAATAAATTTTTTATTTCAATGTTAGCTCATCAAGAGTTCTTTGTCAAAGAATTCAAGATTTGCTTCATTGGGAAGTTGTTGTTGTTCAAAACATGACCATGTCGTTTAATTTTCGACTAGGCGAGATCACAACCCTTAAAGGTCGCTGCGACATGGATACAGTAACCATGACTGAATTGAAGCAAGTTTTGAAGGAGCAAGAAGATCACATCGACCAGTTAGAGGCGTGTAATGGCGATCTAAGGCTTGGCCGCGATCATGTCGAAAAGCGTTTGAAGGGCGTTCGCGAAGAACTCGAGGAAGCACAGAAAAATCTCCAGGGACTTGAAAATGAGATAGCTCATAATGCTGATGTCTTGAAGGAGAAAAAGGAAATGTTGGAAGTGCACAAGAAACTTATTCAAAACTTTAGTAGAATGCTTGAGGCGAAAGAAGAGGTTAGTAAATTGTACGTTTAGATTTTCTCTATTCTGTGCGATTCATGCTGCATACGCACAAGATTGTCAAAACTCTTTGTTCTTGTTATTTTTATTGATAATTGTGCTTATTGCAGTTTGAAAGTGAGGACACATTTATTCTTATTCTTATGTCACCAATGAGGCCAGGCTTAAACTCTTTTAGTTGCATTGTCGCAGATCTGCAGCGATCGCCAGAGGCGTAACTAGAACGTTAATTGTGTGTGGGGGTGTGCACATTCATATATTCCGTTGTCCCTACTGATAAATTAAATTGAATTTCAAAAGAAATCTGTCGGGCGAAACTGACTATAAGAATATTTACCCCTCATTTTACGTTCTAGTTTAGCCTCTGTCAATCGCGAAAGCAGGTAAGAAAATTCGCCACGATGTAACACGATATCACGAATTTGATAAATGTTATCCATATAAAGCGTTTCTGTATTTGTATCGTGTAAGTGACTTGAATCTGAAGATGACTACCGCTAAGGTTTTCAAAACGTCAGTCAACATCAACACCAATGGTCCTTCTCAGGACTCTGGACGATCTACATCCGCAAAGAAGTAATGAGTGAGACGTGGTTGTCTATTTATTCACGAGGTTTTAATGGTTTGCTTTTGTGTTCTCGCCCGTAAAAATCGTTAAAAACACTCCTGATCGTGCTAATAAATTTTTTATTTCAATGTTAGCTCATCAAGAGTTCTTTGTCAAAGAATTCAAGATTTGCTTCATTGGGAAGTTGTTGTTGTTCAAAACATGACCATGTCGTTTAATTTTCGACTAGGCGAGATCACAACCCTTAAAGGTCGCTGCGACATGGATACAGTAACCATGACTGAATTGAAGCAAGTTTTGAAGGAGCAAGAAGATCACATCGACCAGTTAGAGGCGTGTAATGGCGATCTAAGGCTTGGCCGCGATCATGTCGAAAAGCGTTTGAAGGGCGTTCGCGAAGAACTCGAGGAAGCACAGAAAAATCTCCAGGGACTTGAAAATGAGATAGCTCATAATGCTGATGTCTTGAAGGAGAAAAAGGAAATGTTGGAAGTGCACAAGAAACTTATTCAAAACTTTAGTAGAATGCTTGAGGCGAAAGAAGAGGTTAGTAAATTGTACGTTTAGATTTTCTCTATTCTGTGCGATGTTTTATTCATGCTGCATACGCACAAGATTGTCAAAACTCTTTGTTCTTGTTATTTTTATTGATAATTGTGCTTATTGCAGTTTGAAAGTGAGGACACATTTATTCTTATTCTTATGTCACCAATGAGGCCAGGCTTAAACTCTTTTAGTTGCATTGTCGCAGATCTGCAGCGATCGCCAGAGGCGTAACTAGAACGTTAATTGTGTGTGTGGTGTGCACATTCATATATTCCGTTGTCCCTACTGATAAATTAAATTGAATTTCAAAAGAAATCTGTCGGGCGAAACTGACTATAAGAATATTTACCCCTCATTTTACGTTCTAGTTTAGCCTCTGTCAATCGCGAAAGCAGGTAAGAAAATTCGCCACGATGTAACACGATATCACGAATTTGATAAATGTTATCCATATAAAGCGTTTCTGTATTTGTATCGTGTAAGTGACTTGAATCTGAAGATGACTACCGCTAAGGTTTTCAAAACGTCAGTCAACATCAACACCAATGGTCCTTCTCAGGACTCTGGACGATCTACATCCGCAAAGAAGTAATGAGTGAGACGTGGTTGTCTATTTATTCACGAGGTTTTAATGGTTTGCTTTTGTGTTCTCGCCCGTAAAAATCGTTAAAAACACTCCTGATCGTGCTAATAAATTTTTTATTTCAATGTTAGCTCATCAAGAGTTCTTTGTCAAAGAATTCAAGATTTGCTTCATTGGGAAGTTGTTGTTGTTCAAAACATGACCATGTCGTTTAATTTTCGACTAGGCGAGATCACAACCCTTAAAGGTCGCTGCGACATGGATACAGTAACCATGACTGAATTGAAGCAAGTTTTGAAGGAGCAAGAAGATCACATCGACCAGTTAGAGGCGTGTAATGGCGATCTAAGGCTTGGCCGCGATCATGTCGAAAAGCGTTTGAAGGGCGTTCGCGAAGAACTCGAGGAAGCACAGAAAAATCTCCAGGGACTTGAAAATGAGATAGCTCATAATGCTGATGTCTTGAAGGAGAAAAAGGAAATGTTGGAAGTGCACAAGAAACTTATTCAAAACTTTAGTAGAATGCTTGAGGCGAAAGAAGAGGTTAGTAAATTGTACGTTTAGATTTTCTCTATTCTGTGCGATGTTTTATTCATGCTGCATACGCACAAGATTGTCAAAACTCTTTGTTCTTGTTATTTTTATTGATAATTGTGCTTATTGCAGTTTGAAAGTGAGGACACATTTATTCTTATTCTTATGTCACCAATGAGGCCAGGCTTAAACTCTTTTAGTTGCATTGTCGCAGATCTGCAGCGATCGCCAGAGGCGTAACTAGAACGTTAATTGTGTGTGGGGTGTGCACATTCATATATTCCGTTGTCCCTACTGATAAATTAAATTGAATTTCAAAAGAAATCTGTCGGGCGAAACTGACTATAAGAATATTTACCCCTCATTTTACGTTCTAGTTTAGCCTCTGTCAATCGCGAAAGCAGGTAAGAAAATTCGCCACGATGTAACACGATATCACGAATTTGATAAATGTTATCCATATAAAGCGTTTCTGTATTTGTATCGTGTAAGTGACTTGAATCTGAAGATGACTACCGCTAAGGTTTTCAAAACGTCAGTCAACATCAACACCAATGGTCCTTCTCAGGACTCTGGACGATCTACATCCGCAAAGAAGTAATGAGTGAGACGTGGTTGTCTATTTATTCACGAGGTTTTAATGGTTTGCTTTTGTGTTCTCGCCCGTAAAAAACACTCCTGATCGTGCTAATAAATTTTTATTTCAATGTTAGCTCATCAAGAGTTCTTTGTCAAAGAATTCAAGATTTGCTTCATTGGGAAGTTGTTGTTGTTCAAAACATGACCATGTCGTTTAATTTTCGACTAGGCGAGATCACAACCCTTAAAGGTCGCTGCGACATGGATACAGTAACCATGACTGAATTGAAGCAAGTTTTGAAGGAGCAAGAAGATCACATCGACCAGTTAGAGGCGTGTAATGGCGATCTAAGGCTTGGCCGCGATCATGTCGAAAAGCGTTTGAAGGGCGTTCGCGAAGAACTCGAGGAAGCACAGAAAAATCTCCAGGGACTTGAAAATGAGATAGCTCATAATGCTGATGTCTTGAAGGAGAAAAAGGAAATGTTGGAAGTGCACAAGAAACTTATTCAAAACTTTAGTAGAATGCTTGAGGCGAAAGAAGAGGTTAGTAAATTGTACGTTTAGATTTTCTCTATTCTGTGCGATGTTTTATTCATGTTGCATACGCACAAGATTGTCAAACTCTTTGTTCTTGTTATTTTTATTGATAATTGTGCTTATTGCAGTTTGAAAGTGAGGACACATTTATTCTTATTCTTATGTCACCAATGAGGCCAGGCTTAAACTCTTTTAGTTGCATTGTCGCAGATCTGCAGCGATCGCCAGAGGCGTAACTAGAACGTTAATTGTGTGTGTGGGTGTGCACATTCATATATTCCGTTGTCCCTACTGATAAATTAAATTGAATTTCAAAAGAAATCTGTCGGGCGAAACTGACTATAAGAATATTTACCCCTCATTTTACGTTCTAGTTTAGCCTCTGTCAATCGCGAAAGCAGGTAAGAAAATTCGCCACGATGTAACACGATATCACGAATTTGATAAATGTTATCCATATAAAGCGTTTCTGTATTTGTATCGTGTAAGTGACTTGAATCTGAAGATGACTACCGCTAAGGTTTTCAAAACGTCAGTCAACATCAACACCAATGGTCCTTCTCAGGACTCTGGACGATCTACATCCGCAAAGAAGTAATGAGTGAGACGTGGTTGTCTATTTATTCACGAGGTTTTAATGGTTTGCTTTTGTGTTCTCGCCCGTAAAATCGTTAAAACACTCCTGATCGTGCTAATAAATTTTTTATTTCAATGTTAGCTCATCAAGAGTTCTTTGTCAAAGAATTCAAGATTTGCTTCATTGGGAAGTTGTTGTTGTTCAAAACATGACCATGTCGTTTAATTTTCGACTAGGCGAGATCACAACCCTTAAAGGTCGCTGCGACATGGATACAGTAACCATGACTGAATTGAAGCAAGTTTTGAAGGAGCAAGAAGATCACATCGACCAGTTAGAGGCGTGTAATGGCGATCTAAGGCTTGGCCGCGATCATGTCGAAAAGCGTTTGAAGGGCGTTCGCGAAGAACTCGAGGAAGCACAGAAAAATCTCCAGGGACTTGAAAATGAGATAGCTCATAATGCTGATGTCTTGAAGGAGAAAAAGGAAATGTTGGAAGTGCACAAGAAACTTATTCAAAACTTTAGTAGAATGCTTGAGGCGAAAGAAGAGGTTAGTAAATTGTACGTTTAGATTTTCTCTTTTCTGTGCGATGTTTTATTCATGCTGCATACGCACAAGATTGTCAAAACTCTTTGTTCTTGTTATTTTTATTGATAATTGTGCTTATTGCAGTTTGAAAGTGAGGACACATTTATTCTTATTCTTATGTCACCAATGAGGCCAGGCTTAAACTCTTTTAGTTGCATTGTCGCAGATCTGCAGCGATCGCCAGAGGCGTAACTAGAACGTTAATTGTGTGTGTGGGTGTGCACATTCATATATTCCGTTGTCCCTACTGATAAATTAAATTGAATTTCAAAAGAAATCTGTCGGGCGAAACTGACTATAAGAATATTTACCCCTCATTTTACGTTCTAGTTTAGCCTCTGTCAATCGCAAAAGCAGGTAAGAAAATTCGCCACGATGTAAAATGATATCACGAATTTGATAAATGTTATCCATATAAAGCGTTTCTGTATTTGTATCGTGTAAGTGACTTGAATCTGAAGATGACTACCGCTAAGGTTTTCAAAACGTCAGTCAACATCAACACCAATGGTCCTTCTCAGGACTCTGGACGATCTACATCCGCAAAGAAGTAATGAGTGAGACGTGGTTGTCTATTTATTCACGAGGTTTTAATGGTTTGCTTTTGTGTTCTCGCCCGTAAAATCGTTAAAACACTCCTGATCGTGCTAATAAATTTTTATTTCAATGTTAGCTCATCAAGAGTTCTTTGTCAAAGAATTCAAGATTTGCTTCATTGGGAAGTTGTTGTTGTTCAAAACATGACCATGTCGTTTAATTTTCGACTAGGCGAGATCACAACCCTTAAAGGTCGCTGCGACATGGATACAGTAACCATGACTGAATTGAAGCAAGTTTTGAAGGAGCAAGAAGATCACATCGACCAGTTAGAGGCGTGTAATGGCGATCTAAGGCTTGGCCACGATCATGTGGAAAAGCGTTTGAAGGGCGTTCGCGAAGAACTCGAGGAAGCACAGAAAAATCTCCAGGGACTTGAAAATGAGATAGCTCATAATGCTGATGTCTTGAAGGAGAAAAAGGAAATGTTGGAAGTGCACAAGAAACTTATTCAAAACTTTAGTAGAATGCTTGAGGCGAAAGAAGAGGTTAGTAAATTGTACGTTTAGATTTTCTCTATTCTGTGCGATGTTTTATTCATGCTGCATACGCACAAGATTGTCAAAACTCTTTGTTCTTGTTATTTTTATTGATAATTGTGCTTATTGCAGTTTGAAAGTGAGGACACATTTATTCTTATTCTTATGTCACCAATGAGGCCAGGCTTAAACTCTTTTAGTTGCATTGTCGCAGATCTGCAGCGATCGCCAGAGGCGTAACTAGAACGTTAATTGTGTGTGGGTGTGCACATTCATATATTCCGTTGTCCCTACTGATAAATTAAATTGAATTTCAAAAGAAATCTGTCGGGCGAAACTGACTATAAGAATATTTACCCCTCATTTTACGTTCTAGTTTAGCCTCTGTCAATCGCAAAAGCAGGTAAGAAAATTCGCCACGATGTAAAATGATATCACGAATTTGATAAATGTTATCCATATAAAGCGTTTCTGTATTTGTATCGTGTAAGTGAGTTGATTCTGAAGATGACTACCGCTAAGGTTTTCAAAACGTCAGTCAACATCAACACCAATGGTCCTTCTCAGGACTCTGGACGATCTACATCCGCAAAGAAGTAATGAGTGAGACGTGGTTGTCTATTTATTCACGAGGTTTTAATGGTTTGCTTTTGTGTTCTCGCCCGTAAAATCGTTAAAACACTCCTGATCGTGCTAATAAATTTTTTATTTCAATGTTAGCTCATCAAGAGTTCTTTGTCAAAGAATTCAAGATTTGCTTCATTGGGAAGTTGTTGTTGTTCAAAACATGACCATGTCGTTTAATTTTCGACTAGGCGAGATCACAACCCTTAAAGGTCGCTGCGACATGGATACAGTAACCATGACTGAATTGAAGCAAGTTTTGAAGGAGCAAGAAGATCACATCGACCAGTTAGAGGCGTGTAATGGCGATCTAAGGCTTGGCCGCGATCATGTCGAAAAGCGTTTGAAGGGCGTTCGCGAAGAACTCGAGGAAGCACAGAAAAATCTCCAGGGACTTGAAAATGAGATAGCTCATAATGCTGATGTCTTGAAGGAGAAAAAGGAAATGTTGGATGTGCACAAGAAACTTATTCAAAACTTTAGTAGAATGCTTGAGGCGAAAGAAGAGGTTAGTAAATTGTACGTTTAGATTTTCTCTATTCTGTGCGATGTTTTATTCATGTTGCATACGCACAAGATTGTCAAACTCTTTGTTCTTGTTATTTTTATTGATAATTGTGCTTATTGCAGTTTGAAAGTGAGGACACATTTATTCTTATTCTTATGTCACCAATGAGGCCAGGCTTAAACTCTTTTAGTTGCATTGTCGCAGATCTGCAGCGATCGCCAGAGGCGTAATAGAACGTTAATTGTGTGTGAGGGTGTGCACATTCATATATTCCGTTGTCCCTACTGATAAATTAAATTGAATTTCAAAAGAAATCTGTCGGGCGAAACTGACTATAAGAATATTTACCCCTCATTTTACGTTCTAGTTTAGCCTCTGTCAATCGCGAAAGCAGGTAAGAAAATTCGCCACGATGTAACACGATATCACGAATTTGATAAATGTTATCCATATAAAGCGTTTCTGTATTTGTATCGTGTAAGTGACTTGAATCTGAAGATGACTGCCGCTAAGGTTTTCAAAACGTCAGTCAACATCAACACCAATGGTCCTTCTCAGGACTCTGGACGATCTACATCCGCAAAGAAGTAATGAGTGAGACGTGGTTGTCTATTTATTCACGAGGTTTTAATGGTTTGCTTTTGTGTTCTCGCCCGTAAAAATCGTTAAAAACACTCCTGATCGTGCTAATAAATTTTTTATTTCAATGTTAGCTCATCAAGAGTTCTTTGTCAAAGAATTCAAGATTTGCTTCATTGGGAAGTTGTTGTTGTTCAAAACATGACCATGTCGTTTAATTTTCGACTAGGCGAGATCACAACCCTTAAAGGTCGCTGCGACATGGATACAGTAACCATGACTGAATTGAAGCAAGTTTTGAAGGAGCAAGAATATCACATCGACCAGTTAGATGCGTGTAATGGCGATCTAAGGCTTGGCCGCGATCATGTCGAAAAGCGTTTGAAGGGCGTTCGCGAAGAACTCGAGGAAGCACAGAAAAATCTCCAGGGACTTGAAAATGAGATAGCTCATAATGCTGATGTCTTGAAGGAGAAAAAAGAAATGTTGGAAGTGCACAAGAAACTTATTCAAAACTTTAGTAGAATGCTTGAGGCGAAAGAAGAGGTTAGTAAATTGTACGTTTAGATTTTCTCTTTTCTGTGCGATGTTTTATTCATGCTGCATACGCACAAGATTGTCAAAACTCTTTGTTCTTGTTATTTTATTGATAATTGTGCTTATTGCAGTTTGAAAGTGAGGACACATTTATTCTTATTCTTATGTCACCAATGAGGCCAGGCTTAAACTCTTTTAGTTGCATTGTCGCAGATCTGCAGCGATCTCCAGAGGCGTAACTAGAACGTTAATTGTGTGTGGGTGTGCACATTCATATATTCCGTTGTCCCTACTGATAAATTAAATTGAATTTCAAAAGAAATCTGTCGGGCGAAACTGACTATAAGAATATTTACCCCTCATTTTACGTTCTAGTTTAGCCTCTGTCAATCGCGAAAGCAGGTAAGAAAATTCGCCACGATGTAACACGATATCACGAATTTGATAAATGTTATCCATATAAAGCGTTTCTGTATTTGTATCGTGTAAGTGACTTGAATCTGAAGATGACTACCGCTAAGGTTTTCAAAACGTCAGTCAACATCAACACCAATGGTCCTTCTCAGGACTCTGGACGATCTACATCCGCAAAGAAGTAATGAGTGAGACGTGGTTGTCTATTTATTCACGAGGTTTTAATGGTTTGCTTTTGTGTTCTCGCCCGTAAAAATCGTTAAAAACACTCCTGATCGTGCTAATAAATTTTTTATTTCAATGTTAGCTCATCAAGAGTTCTTTGTCAAAGAATTCAAGATTTGCTTCATTGGGAAGTTGTTGTTGTTCAAAACATGACCATGTCGTTTAATTTTCGACTAGGCGAGATCACAACCCTTAAAGGTCGCTGCGACATGGATACAGTAACCATGACTGAATTGAAGCAAGTTTTGAAGGAGCAAGAAGATCACATCGACCAGTTAGAGGCGTGTAATGGCGATCTAAGGCTTGGCCACGATCATGTGGAAAAGCGTTTGAAGGGCGTTTGCGAAGAACTCGAGGAAGCACAGAAAAATCTCCAGGGACTTGAAAATGAGATAGCTCATAATGCTGATGTCTTGAAGGAGAAAAAGGAAATGTTGGAAGTGCACAAGAAACTTATTCAAAACTTTAGTAGAAAGCTTGAGGCGAAAGAAGAGGTTAGTAAATTGTACGTTTAGATTTTCTCTATTCTGTGCGATGTTTTATTCATGCTGCATACGCACAAGATTGTCAAAACTCTTTGTTCTTGTTATTTTTATTGATAATTGTGCTTATTGCAGTTTGAAAGTGAGGACACATTTATTCTTATTCTTATGTCACCAATGAGGCCAGGCTTAAACTCTTTTAGTTGCATTGTCGCAGATCTGCAGCGATCGCCAGAGGCGTAACTAGAACGTTAATTGTGTGTGTGGGTGTGCACATTCATATATTCCGTTGTCCCTACTGATAAATTAAATTGAATTTCAAAAGAAATCTGTCGGGCGAAACTGACTATAAGAATATTTACCCCTCATTTTACGTTCTAGTTTAGCCTCTGTCAATCGCGAAAGCAGGTAAGAAAATTCGCCACCATGTAAAACGATATCACGAATTTGATAAATGTTATCCATATAAAGCGTTTCTGTATTTGTATCGTGTAAGTGACTTGAATCTGAAGATGACTACCGCTAAGGTTTTCAAAACGTCAGTCAACATCAACACCAATGGTCCTTCTCAGGACTCTGGACGATCTACATCCGCAAAGAAGTAATGAGTGAGACGTGGTTGTCTATTTATTCACGAGGTTTTAATGGTTTGCTTTTGTGTTCTCGCCCGTAAAATCGTTAAAACACTCCTGATCGTGCTAATAAATTTTTATTTCAATGTTAGCTCATCAAGAGTTCTTTGTCAAAGAATTCAAGATTTGCTTCATTGGGAAGTTGTTGTTGTTCAAAACATGACCATGTCGTTTAATTTTCGACTAGGCGAGATCACAACCCTTAAAGGTCGCTGCGACATGGATACAGTAACCATGACTGAATTGAAGCAAGTTTTGAAGGAGCAAGAAGATCACATCGACCAGTTAGAGGCGTGTAATGGCGATCTAAGGCTTGGCCGCGATCATGTCGAAAAGCGTTTGAAGGGCGTTCGCGAAGAACTCGAGGAAGCACAGAAAATCTCCAGGGACTTGAAAATGAGATAGCTCATAATGCTGATGTCTTGAAGGAGAAAAAGGAAATGTTGGATGTGCACAAGAAACTTATTCAAAACTTTAGTAGAATGCTTGAGGCGAAAGAAGAGGTTAGTAAATTGTACGTTTAGATTTTCTCTATTCTGTGCGATGTTTTATTCATGTTGCATACGCACAAGATTGTCAAACTCTTTGTTCTTGTTATTTTTATTGATAATTGTGCTTATTGCAGTTTGAAAGTGAGGACACATTTATTCTTATTCTTATGTCACCAATGAGGCCAGGCTTAAACTCTTTTAGTTGCATTGTCGCAGATCTGCAGCGATCGCCAGAGGCGTAATAGAACGTTATTTGTGTGTGGGGGTGTGCACATTCATATATTCCGTTGTCCCTACTGATAAATTAAATTGAATTTCAAAAGAAATCTGTCGGGCGAAACTGACTATAAGAATATTTACCCCTCATTTTACGTTCTAGTTTAGCCTCTGTCAATCGCGAAAGCAGGTAAGAAAATTCGCCACGATGTAACACGATATCACGAATTTGATAAATGTTATCCATATAAAGCGTTTCTGTATTTGTATCGTGTAAGTGACTTGAATCTGAAGATGACTACCGCTAAGGTTTTCAAAACGTCAGTCAACATCAACACCAATGGTCCTTCTCAGGACTCTGGACGATCTACATCCGCAAAGAAGTAATGAGTGAGACGTGGTTGTCTATTTATTCACGAGGTTTTAATGGTTTGCTTTTGTGTTCTCGCCCGTAAAATCGTTAAAACACTCCTGATCGTGCTAATAAATTTTTATTTCAATGTTAGCTCATCAAGAGTTCTTTGTCAAAGAATTCAAGATTTGCTTCATTGGGAAGTTGTTGTTGTTCAAAACATGACCATGTCGTTTAATTTTCGACTAGGCGAGATCACAACCCTTAAAGGTCGCTGCGACATGGATACAGTAACCATGACTGAATTGAAGCAAGTTTTGAAGGAGCAAGAATATCACATCGACCAGTTAGATGCGTGTAATGGCGATCTAAGGCTTGGCCGCGATCATGTCGAAAAGCGTTTGAAGGGCGTTCGCGAAGAACTCGAGAAGCACAGAAAAATCTCCAGGGACTTGAAAATGAGATAGCTCATAATGCTGATGTCTTGAAGGAGAAAAAGGAAATGTTGGAAGTGCACAAGAAACTTATTCAAAACTTTAGTAGAATGCTTGAGGCGAAAGAAGAGGTTAGTAAATTGTACGTTTAGATTTTCTCTTTTCTGTGCGATGTTTTATTCATGCTGCATACGCACAAGATTGACAAAACTCTTTGTTCTTGTTATTTTTATTGATAATTGTGCTTATTGCAGTTTGAAAGTGAGGACATATTTATTCTTATTCTTATGTCACCAATGAGGCCAGGCTTAAACTCTTTTAGTTGCATTGTCGCAGATCTGCAGCGATCGCCAGAGGCGTAACTAGAACGTTAATTGTGTGTGGGGGTGTGCACATTCATATATTCCGTTGTCCCTACTGATAAATTAAATTGAATTTCAAAAGAAATCTGTCGGGCGAAACTGACTATAAGAATATTTACCCCTCATTTTACGTTCTAGTTTAGCCTCTGTCAATCGCGAAAGCAGGTAAGAAAATTCGCCACGATGTAACACGATATCACGAATTTGATAAATGTATTCCATATAAAGCGTTTCTGTATTTGTATCGTGTAAGTGACTGGATTCTGAAGATGACTACCGCTAAGGTTTTCAAAACGTCAGTCAACATCAACACCAATGGTCCTTCTCAGGACTCTGGACGATTTACATCCGCAAAGAAGTAATGAGTGAGACGTGGTTGTCTATTTATTCACGAGGTTTTAATGGTTTGCTTTTGTGTTCTCGCCCGTAAAATCGTTAAAACATTCCTGATCGTGTTAATAAATTTTTCATTTCAATGTTAGCTCACCGAAAGTTCTTTGTCAAAGATATCAAGATTTGCTTTATTGGGAAGCTGTTGTTCAAAACATGACCATGTCGTTTAATTTTCGACTAGGCGAGATCACAACCCTTAAAGGTCGCTGCGACATGGATACAGTAACCATGACTGAATTGAAGCAAGTTTTGAAGGAGCAAGAAGATCACATCGACCAGTTAGAGGCGTGTAATGGTGATCTAAGGCTTGGCCGCGATCATGTCGAAAAGCGTTTGAAGGGCGTTCGCGAAGAACTCGAGGAAGCACAGAAAAATCTCCAGGGACTTGAAAATGAGATAGCTCATAATGCTGATGTCTTGAAGGAGAAAAAGGAAATGTTGGAAGTGCACAAGAAACTTATTCAAAACTTTAGTAGAATGCTTGAGGCGAAAGAAGAGGTTAGTAAATTGTACGTTTAGATTTTCTCTTTTCTGTGCGATGTTTTATTCATGCTGCATACGCACAAGATTGTCAAAACTCTTTGTTCTTGTTATTTTTATTGATAATCGTGCTTATTGCAGTTTGAAAGTGAGGACACATTTATTCTTATTCTTATGTCACCAATGAGGCCAGGCTTAAACTCTTTTAGTTGCATTGTCGCAGATCTGCAGCGATCGCCAGAGGCGTAACTAGAACGTTAATTGTGTGTGGGGGTGTGCACATTCATATATTCCGTTGTCCCTACTGATAAATTAAATTGAATTTCAAAAGAAATCTGTCGGGCGAAACTGACTATAAGAATATTTACCCTCATTTTACGTTCTAGTTTAGCCTCTGTCAATCGCGAAAGCAGGTAAGAAAATTCGCCACGATGTAACACGATATCACGAATTTGATAAATGTTATCCATATAAAGCGTTTCTGTATTTGTATCGTGTAAGTGACTTGAATCTGAAGATGACTACCGCTAAGGTTTTCAAAACGTCAGTCAACATCAACACCAATGGTCCTTCAGGACTCTGGACGATCTACATCCGCAAAGAAGTAATGAGTGAGACGTGGTTGTCTATTTATTCACGAGGTTTTAATGGTTTGCTTTTGTGTTCTCGCCCGTAAAAATCGTTAAAAACACTCCTGATCGTGCTAATAAATTTTTTATTTCAATGTTAGCTCATCAAGAGTTCTTTGTCAAAGAATTTAAGATTTGCTTTATTGGGAAGCTGTTGTTGTTCAAAACATGACCATGTCGTTTAATTTTCGACTAGGCGAGATCACAACCCTTAAAGGTCGCTGCGACATGGATACAGTAACCATGACTGAATTGAAGCAAGTTTTGAAGGAGCAAGAAGATCACATCGACCAGTTAGAGGCGTGTAATGGTGATCTAAGGCTTGGCCGCGATCATGTCGAAAAGCGTTTGAAGGGCGTTCGCGAAGAACTCGAGGAAGCACAGAAAATCTCCAGGGACTTGAAAATGAGATAGCTCATAATGCTGATGTCTTGAAGGAGAAAAAGGAAATGTTGGAAGTGCACAAGAAACTTATTCAAAACTTTAGTAGAATGCTTGAGGCGAAAGAAGAGGTTAGTAAATTGTACGTTTAGATTTTCTTTCTGTGCGATGTTTTATTCATGCTGCATACGCACAAGATTGTCAAAACTCTTTGTTCTTGTTATTTTTATTGATAATCGTGCTTATTGCAGTTTGAAAGTGAGGACACATTTATTCTTATTCTTATGTCACCAATGAGGCCAGGCTTAAACTCTTTTAGTTGCATTGTCGCAGATCTGCAGCGAGAGGCAAAGTTAATTGTGTGGGTGTGCACATTCATATATTCCGTTGTCCCTACTGATAAATTAAATTGAATTTCAAAAGAAATCTGTCGGGCGAAACTGACTATAATATTTACCCCTCATTTTACGTTCTAGTTTAGCCTCAATCGCGAAAGCAGGTAAGAAAATTCGCCACGATGTAACACGATATCACGAATTTGATAAATGTTATCCATATAAAGCGTTTCTGTATTTGTATCGTGTAAGTGACTTGAATCTGAAGATGACTACC